TCTTTTGTTGACAGTCATGATTGTTACCCTTTTGTAAACATTTAAAAAAAAATCTTTGATATTAAAAATCTGTCTTTAACACTTTTTCAGGTCCTTTTAGGTCTTATCCCTGACAAGAATCCCATATTATAAAGATTTAACAGTTAATTTAAACTAAATGTTAAATTTTTAACATTAAATTTTTAATTTAACCCCAATTAACTAAAACCAAGCATTTTCAAAAATACAAACTAAACCAAAAAGAAAAGGATCTAAAATTAACATTCAATTAGAAACCAAACTACGACATAAAAGAAATAAAAACTAGTTAAGATTTCAAAACTATCTTAAAGACTTAAAAACAGGCAACTGGACTGTGTAGAGTTGAGAAGACGTTTCGCGTCTTATCCAAGAAGCTTCTTCAGTTCTAAATTGCTAGTGTGAGGAGCAGATATTTATCTTACTGGAGAAAGGGGACAGACAACGACTGGGAGGAGTTGAAAAGAATGGGTCGTAGAAACCCATCTCATCTCTGGGTGCCCCCCCCCCCCCCCCCCAAGTCGTTAACCTGAAAGGGTCGTTAACAACCCCTGTGATGTGACTACACCTGGGACCACATGACTACACTACACCTGGGTCATGTGGTCCCAGGTGTGAGTGTTTGTGAAGTTTCCTGGGGAGAGAGCTGAGAACTGCATTGTAAGTGCCAGAGAGATGGTGCCTGAGTCCACCCCCTCTGTTCAGAGAAGGTTTCTCCAGCTTGGTAAAGATGGCTTCTTTAACTCCTCTTTCAAACCATCTGTCTTCTCTAGCCAACACCTGTACATTGCTGTCCTTGAAAGAATGACCCGTATCCTTCAAGTGAAGGTGGACAGCTGAGTCCTGACCTGAGGAAGTGGCTCTCCTGTGTTTAGCCATGCGCTTGTGAAGCGGTTGTTTAGTTTCCCCAATGTACAGGTCCGAGCATTCCTCGCTGCACTGGACGGCATACACCACATTACTCTGTTTATGTCTCGGTGGAACAGAAAAAGGAACAGAAGCACATCAAAAATGCCCTGACAACCTGTGGATACCCTAAGTGGGCCTTTGTGAAGAACAAAAAGAGAAATAACACTGAATAGGAAAGGGAGGAGAGACGCAAGAGCACTGTAATCCCTTACGTTGCAGGCCTGTCGGAAAAAAACTCGAGAGGATCTTTGGCAAACACCATATTCCTGTTCATTTCAAGCCTGGTAACACACTAAGGCAGAAGCTAGTCCATCCCAAGGACAAAACACCGAGACATAAACAGAGTAATGTGGTGTATGCCGTCCAGTGCAGCGAGGAATGCTCGGACCTGTACATTGGGGAAACTAAACAACCGCTTCACAAGCGCATGGCTAAACACAGGAGAGCCACTTCCTCAGGTCAGGACTCAGCTGTCCACCTTCACTTGAAGGATACGGGTCACTCTTTCAAGGACAGCAATGTACAGGTGTTGGCTAGAGAAGACAGATGGTTTGAAAGAGGAGTTAAAGAAGCCATCTTTACCAAGCTGGAGAAACCTTCTCTGAACAGAGGGGGTGGACTCAGGTACCATCTCTCTGGCACTTACAATGCAGTTCTCAGCTCACTCCCCAGGAAACTCCACAAACACTCACACCTGGGACCACATGACCCAGGTGTAGTCACATCACAGGGGTTGTTAACGACCCTTTCAGGTTAACGACTGGGGGGGACACCCAGAGATGGGTTTCTACGACCCATTCTTTCCAACTCCTCCCAGTCGTTGTTTGTCCCCTTCTCCAGTAAGATAAATATCTGCTCCTCACACTAGCAATTTAGAACTGAAGAAGCTTCTTGGATAAGAGGCGAAACGTCTTCTCAACTCTACACAGTCCAGTTGCCTGTTTTAAGTCTTCAAGATAACCATGACCTGGATGAATGAGAATCTACACGGACATTTCAAAACTATCACAACCTTGTTTTAGGCCAGGAATCTCATTTTTGGAAACTGAAGACTCAAATGTTTGCACAGCTTATTTTGAATGTTTCATTTTAGACACAGCAAATTTGAATAGTCAGATTATTTTTTATTTATTTATATATTCTATGATCTGGGGCCTGTTCTACGAAGCAAGTTCGACCTAGCGAAGTAGCCTTGGAGCTACCTCGCTCAACTTAGCACGGTAGCTAGTGGTGTTGCTAAACGGTCTTACGACGCTGGTTGACAACCTCGTAAGTGGATCCAGCTTTGCTATGAGCGCGTGCACACATGTAAGGCGGAGCCTGCCGCATCTGACCAATGGCGTCAGAGCAGGCCGAAGAGCGAAGGACCGCTCACTCAACAAACGAGCAGGAGACGATCATGAGAAAGTATGAAGAATTCAAAGCTATCATAAACCAACAAAAAAACCTATCGATAAACCTATCAAAAACGCAACACCTTCGCTGCTGCAATAGCAAGGAAGAAATGCTGGCAGAAAATTAATCTTTGATGCCATTATCACCCTGAAATAGCACTGTTCAACATGCGCTTTTAACTAAGGTGACCAGACGTCCCCGATTTCCGGGGACATTCCCCGAATTGGATGATCTGTCCCCGGCTAAAGCTGTCCCCGGAAATGTCCCTGATTTAAGCGTTTTATGAATGAGAACAAAAATGTTGCATGTAGGCTACAACAACGGTTATTATAGTAGGTAGGAAGCACAAGTAAGCAGTCCTGAACAACAGTATTTACGGGGGTTATTACAAGGGACGTGCGCTGCTACTAAATGGTACTGAGATGTTGTCTGTGATCACGCAGCCCATGCAGCCCATGCTCATTCATTTCCAAGATGAATTAATTCATTTGTTCATTCCTATCATGTTTACATTTTTTGTGTGATATGTCGGCCATATGAGCCTTTCATAAAGGTGGTCATCCGGAAAAGTAAGTGGGTCTGTGCAGTCCCTGAAAACTTTCACACGCCGGAGTGCTCCTCGGACAATGCGAGCACCGAGGTCTACAGGATCCTCCAAGGATGAATAAGCCATTTTTCAAGAGAGCTCATTGGTCAGTGGGCAGGGTTTTTATACTCGGTGAGTTCAATCTGGAACCTATCCTGCCCCGGAGCAGGGGGCAGGATAGGAACAGGAAACCCCGAACTTACTCTCGAAGTTACCTCTCTAAGCAGTAATCCTGCTTCGTAGAACAGGCCCCAGATAATTTTGTTTATCATTTTACTGTTGTGGTTTTTATTGTTGGTAAATAAAGAGTATCTGTTTATTCTGAGTCCTGATCCAATACTTATATTTGCTTAAATGACAGAGATGAATAGCAGACTGAGTCTTAAAATTACAGTTAAGGTGGTGTCTAAAAAATAGGATCTAGCCCTACCATAGACCAAAGACTTTGGTATTTCTTTATGGAAATGAATGAGACTAACAGGATACAGTTATGCAGAGGACATTTAGACTTTATTTTTGTCAATTCTTGGACAAGTGGATGTGTACTGAAAGAGGTAAAATTGTTACACAGGCAGGTCTGTGCCTCCAGTATGGCTCATGATGTTCAGTTTATTTCAGAAAACGTTTCCTGGTAGTGGTTGTGTTGTTACAACACATTTGTGCCCATTCATATAACACACAACAGAAAGACACCTCAGACTATTTGATGAAATAAAACTGAACAACACTTCTGTTGATGACATTTCATTTAAAACCAATAAACACCAATGTTTTTCTATTGTGTTTTTTTTTTTATTATTGGATTGTTTTATACTGATAGACTCTGTTCAGCAATTGTGGGCCAGTGGGTGTTCTGTATCCTCGGATTGTCGACTATATCCCGTTAACAACCAGAGAGAGTCAGAGCAGTTAAGAGGGTCAGCACTAGGTGGCAGGAGTGACATATTTATGTAAATAACACTGTCAGGTTCCACAGATACTGTTTACATTGTTCAGAATAAAGCAGTGTCCACATATGTAACTGTCACCAAGTGTTATTTTTCAGAAGTGATGCATAAAATCTGGTTGATGTAACATGTGCATGTAAACTTAGTAAACGGGTATTAAAAGGCTTCCTGGATTGATTCAGAGGCAGACAACTTTGAGCACCATTTTGCACTAAGGAGACACTGATGGGATTGCCCAGTCCACATTCAGTGGTAGTGTGGGATCCTGCATTCTGCCGCTGTGTCTGCGAAGGAACTCTTGGCAACATGGCATGTCAAAGCACTGTCTTTTTGTCATCTTAAATACTCCACTAATGTTGTCTTGTGAAAAAGTGTTTCTCATAATCAAAATTTGGAACATAAATGAGATAAGAGGTCACACACAAAAAAGCAAGCCTGTTTAGCAGATGTGTCTCTTTATCATTCTCTCTCTGCAGGAAGTGCATCACAAGTTTTTATCAGTATACATTTTTGTAAAAACTGTAATAATGTAAATGTTTGGTTACAAGTAGTCATTGGAGATGTATGTGGAGACATTGGTGTGAACTGTAATACTCGGAGCAGTCCTTTTTTTATTAGATTGGCATTAGGGCGGCAGCAGCTCAGGCAGTAGAGCGGTCGGCCAATAACTGGAAGGTTGGCGGTTCGAGCCCCGTCCTATCCCAAGTCTGTCCGTTGTTTCCTTGGGCAAAACACTCAACCCACCTTGCTCCCAGTGTGTGTGTCCTCCACTGGTGTATGAGTGTGAGTGTTGTGAGGTGGTGGTCAGAGAGGCCGTAGGTGCAAACTGGCAGCCACGTTTCTGTCAGTCTGCCCCAGGGCACCACCAAGGTGTGACTGTGTGAGCGAATGAATGATGTATCCAATGTAAAGCGCTTTGAGGTCACTGACAAAAAGCGCTACAAAATCTGATGCATTATTAGATCAACAAGAATGTTGAAAAGATCAGAGGGTCTTCCAGTGAAGAGTTTAACCTGACTGAAATAAAGACAAAAAAAGACACCCATTCATTTGAATGCTTTGTTTTATTCTACAGGATTACTGTGAGGATAATGAGGATCACAGCACAGAAGTTTCCAGAGTTCTTAGACGACTGTCTGTAAGTTTCATTCCTCATCTAGTCCCTTCTGTAATAAATAGAGACATGGGAATAGACAAAAAAGACAGATTAGGGACAGAGGACAACCAACAATCAAGCTAGGACTTCAGCACTAAAATATATTTGAACTAAACCATTAAATTTGAGTTTATTTTCCAAGCTCGAATAAATCAGTGCTGTTTGTAGTACTGATGTTAAGATGTCGTAACAGCTTTGTGTGTGTGTGTGTGTGTGTGTGTGTGTGTGTGTGTGTGTGTGTGTGTGTGTGTGTGTGTGTGTGTGTGTGTGTGTATTATTGGCACAAACAAAGCACTCTCACAAGGTAGACAAAGATCAGGTAAGGCTTTGCTCTGCTTCTGAACCATATATTCTCTAAACTTTATATCATTTGTATGATAAAAAATGTTTTTTTTAATGCATTATTAAAAAACCGTAAATGTATTAATCTGGTAAATATTTTCATTTAGCTTGAAGTGTTCTGGAGACTTGGAGGTGAGGGTGCTAGCCTATGCTCTTAAGTCTTCATTTTGGTTTGGGAGTAAAAATTGTTCTTTGTCTAACAACTTGGCTCTACCAACCAATCCCTCATTATTTCTGACTGTCAAATACAAAAGACGTAAAACTTGAAGATGTTCTGACCTGTTTGAATTTATTTATTCACTTGAAAAAATGCAGAATAAAACTGCTATAGACAAACTTGGTCTGGTGTGTCCATGTATTTTTTCCATTGCAACTAAAACATGTGTTAAAGTGCAGTAGGGGAAACCAGGAGCAGTTGTAACATTTATAACTTACAGATAATATTTTGCTCTATATTTAATGAAGAAATATGTATTTTTATTTAATAAAGCTGTTTCAGTATTATTGGGGGCCCCAAGGGGGGAATTGTTACAATAAATTATACATAATATATACCAACTTTATCTCCAATAACAGCACATCTTTGCTTACACAGCTTACACACCTCTGCTGTAGTATCTAAAAAAAATTTTTTAGATTTGAGATTGAGAGATCTTGTAGATTTTTTGGGATTGAATAAATCCAAAACAAGAGAACATCTAATTTTAAAGACAGCTGGGCTTCTATGCTGATTTCACTGAGATATACTGCATTGCATTGGCTCAGAAATGTATTGTACTCACATACAGTTCAGCTAATGAAGCAAAAACCAAAAAAAATAAAAAAAACTTGGGAATAGAGTTGCTTATATAAGATAAAGAATAACAAGGTAATGTTTCAGAATCAACATACACTGTTTTTAACTCATAGAAGCATAAAATGACAAGTTAACATTTTCTTTAAAGAAAAAACCTTTAAAACATCAAGCAGCTGTGAAAATGTAAAGCATGAATACTTCAAATCAATAACAATGTAACAATGACCTCTATTCACAGTGTTACTGTTGCTCTATTAAGGGGATGGAGTAGTATTTTTTGAAAGACCTGTGGTAAGATACTCTTTTAATGTATAATTTAACCAACAGACAGAGGCCAAATTTAGAATGTGTGTGTATTCACCTGTAGACTACAGAACGAAAATGTCAGCACATCTAAAAAAAATCCAATTTAAAGCTCAAAAACTGAGGTTTTTTTTTCAAGCTTTTGGCTGTGATGAAGGGATTCTGCTCATTTTAAGCAAGCAGAGGGAGATCCTACTGAGCACAGGCAGACTGTCTTCACTCCAGCTTGTTTCATATTAGAGATATTGAGAGTGCTCCAGCTGGTCTCCCTGACATTGAATGCATTAGGGACAGTATATGAAGTGCTGTGTTAAAATCTGGAATAGCTTCTTACCTTTGACCCCACATCACGGCTTTTGGCTCGCAGTTTGTTGACCTGGGACTCAGCAATGTCAGCTCGCTCTTCAGCCTCATCCAACTCATGCTGCAGCTTACGGAATTTGCCAAGATGAGTGTTGGCCTGCTCCTCCTAGAAGATTCAACAAAACAGAATGAAACAGGGAAGTATTTACTGGATATAATTCCAAAAAATAAGTCTACATGTAGTATTTCCGATGGTCCTACTTAAGTTTCTCTACAAAGTAAAATAGCCTTTTAAAATCAAAATCCTTTTTTTTTCAACAGTGAAGGCAGTAAAAGTCATTTAAGGCCTGAATTGACTTTTTGCCAAAAAAATAATAATAATAAAATGAGTGTGAAACACAAACAGTAGATAACTCACAGCCTCCTCAGCAGCTCTCTTGTAAGCTTTGACTTTCAGTTGCAGCTTGTCAACCAGATCCTGCAGACGCACTGTATTCTTACGGTCTTCCTCAGTCTGTATAAATGAGCACAAAGCAAAATAAACAAAATTTGCAGTTCAGGACTCAAAATGTCCTGAGCAGACTTTTCAGTTTGACTTTAAAACCACTGATGGTTCGACAACTCCTGATGTCATGTGTTGGTTTGTTCCAGCTTCCTGCCCACAGGAATAATACGGTGGAGTCTCTTGAAGAAGTTCAAAAAAAGTGAGTGATTGAGATCATAAAGTGTGTTTCTTCTCCAAAACCAGTTAATGGTCGAGTCAAAAGCAATGTAATGAACGACATAACTACATTTTTACACAACTCAAAATAAACATAAAAACTGGTAGAATTAAAGATATTGTTTTTCTGTTATCCCATGGTGATGTTATTATATCTAAGTAAATATCTGATCATTTTCAGGTCTGTTTCTACAAAGACTAGTGTAATTAATTACTGGTTCAACAGCATGCTTCAGACGAGACGTGATATAAAAGAGCAGAAAGGAGAAGATTGGTTTAAGCAGCCCACAGTCCATTAGTTGATCTTCAAAGTAACCCATATCAGTCAACACCCCAGGGGTAACCTTATATGCACTTTCTCTGGTGTGTTGTCACCATAGAGTGTATATAGAATGGACGTCATCTGCCTCCTCACTGGGTGAGGCCTCCATGAGAACAGCACCCCCTGGTGACGGACTGCAGTATAGATTATAAACCCCACCTGCTCCAGCAAAATAAATGTAGCCCTGGACAAACTTTACAATTAGATACATGTCATATAGCTATGTTTGAGCAGCGCTTCATTACAATGTTCTCTTGCCGAACGCTACTGCACTATGGCCAGTTTCAGAAAATGGAAAAAATCCCGGAAATACCAGGGGCATTTCGGCTTCAAATTCATATAATGATGGGAGGCAGAGTCACACTGTCCACACTACATACAGTCAATGGCTATCACTCAGGACCTGAAATCCATTTTAGCACAGCTAATTGGCTATTTTATGGGTTCATACACTGGAGTGGGATGTATGTGTCAGTCCCAAATAACTCAACTGCAAGTGCTGGCTGTAGAAAGCCAAAAAAAAGCCATTTGGGAGCTGAAAGAGTGGTTTCTTGCTGAGCCAAATGGCCTAAATCATAAAATGAGCCAGATTCTTAACACCAGGAGCATACGCTGAGGAAGTTTATCTCAGACAGGGGAAGCACCCAAACCCTGCTTGTATATGGGAAGATAAATCACAGATAACTAGTCATCCTTTGGACTTCTATGCAGATAATATGTTTAGATTAAATCTTTCAATGAATCATGGGATCTTGTTGATGTTTTCTCACAGTGAGTTTGATAAAATTAACAAATTGTCTGTCATCAAAGTAACAATCTTTTTTTAATTGACAAAAGGTTAAAATGGTTTGTAAAAAAGTTTTTTTTTTTCCCTTTTTTTTCTGACAAACGTAACTCCTGCCCTGATCGGTTAAAAACAGCAAGTATACCATAAATACCACACATAGTATCAGCCTAGACCCATAAAAAGCTTTGTGTGGTGATGTGATGCCAACACTTAACCACATTGCTGATTGCAAAATGAGCACTCTATTTAAACTGCCTTAGCCTGTCTACTCTTCATACTTCTTCAATGAAACACTTTGCAACCCTGCCTAAGACTTCAGCATTCTACTTACATAAATAAAGTGTACAAAAAAGAGCTTCTGCGTTTGTATTCTGTCAAAGAAAGGGAGTATACCTGGTATGTAAGCTCCTTGATACGTCTTTCATATTTACGTATGCCTTTCACCGCCTCACTGCTCTTCTTCTGCTCCAACTCTACTTCATTCTCCAGCTCCCTCACCTGAAAACAGCAAAAATCAACCATTGGAAATTCACAGGTCCACAAGGAGCTTAAACATCAAGGTTGCATTAATAAGAATTTTTTTTTTTTTTTTTTTTTTACATTTATTTAAAAATCAATGTAGGATCCTAAAGGTTACAAAACTGAGTTCAGTATCAAGGCTTTATGAACCCACAGCACACAGCCAGTCAATATTTAAAAAAGAAAAAGTTATTGGTGACCTGGGAAGGAAATTTGACCATTCTTTCAACAACAAAAAATGTCATAGTCGTCAGTGCAGGAAATAATGAGTTTATATTTATCAGGCATGCGCTCAAAATTAATGAAATGAAAATTTCATTCACGGTTTGCTTGATGTGTTGAGGGTGTTATGAGTAATGTATAAGGTCTGTACATTCCTTTGTTTTTCAGTTTGTGATGTGATTCTGCAGCTTCATCAATGAAAAAAATGTGTTCATTCTATGGATGGACTTGTACAAATTGGTACAACTGGCATCACACCTACTGCTGCTTTCACTCACCCTGGCCTCGAGCTTCTGCACCTGCTTCTTTCCTCCCTTCATAGCGATCTGTTCAGCTTCATCCAGACGGTGCTGCAGGTCTTTGATGGTTTGCTCCATGTTCTTCTTCATACGCTCCAGGTGAGCACTGGTGTCCTGTTCTTTCTTCAGCTCCTCAGCCATCATGGCAGCATCAGTAATGGCCTTCTTGGCCTTCTCCTCAGCATTCCTACACTCCTGCAGTGCTTCCTCCACTTCAGTCTGAAGCTGGGACGCATCAGTTTCCAGTTTCTTCTTCTGGTTTATCAGGCCAGTGTTCTACAAATTGTAGAGTGTGAGAGTAGAGAATATGAAAAATCGTGTGTTTGAAAAAAAGTTTTTTTAAGTCCTAAAATTTTGTGACTCATCAGGAATGGTTGAAATAACATCAGGTCTAACCTGTGAGTGCAGCAGCTGCACCCTCTCACTGACATCCAGGAGCTCTTGCTCAGCAAGTTTGCGACCTCTTTCAGTTTGCTCCAGAGCAGACCTCAGCTCTTCCAGTTCAGCCTGAAGCAGGTTGTTGCGCCTTTCAACAATGGCAATGTTCTCTTTAAGATCATCATTTGCCCGAACAGACTCATCCAGCTGAATCTGACAGTCCTGGAATAGATAACATCAACCACATGACTGTAATGTGCATTCAGTTTTAAATTGAAACACCTCAAGAAAATATAAATGTCCTTATCTAGGCATACCTTCAGATGTGCATGAACAGATTTGAGCTGTTTCTGAGCCTCAGCCGCCTGCCTGTTGGCCTGGCTAAGCTGGATCTCCATCTCATTGAGGTCTCCCTCCATCTTCTTCTTCAGACGGAGGGCCTCATTTCTGCTGCGACATTCAGCTTCAAGAGAACTTTGCAGGGTGTCAATGGTCCTCTGTAGGTTCCTCTTGCTCTGCTCCATCTCCTCATCTTTCTCAGCTAGTTTACGTTCAATATCAGCTTTGATTTGATTGAACTCCAACTGGGCTCTGAGAATTTTACCCTCTTCATGCTCCAGGGAGGCCTTAAGATAAGATAGGATGAGATAAGATAAGATAAGGTAAGATAAGAAGAACTTTATTGAGGTAAATTCAATAGAAAAGCTTGGACAGAGTTGTACATATGAACAGAGAGTCTGTACCTCAGCTTCCTCAAGAGCAGACTGGATCTCACTCTTCTCCTGCTCCAGTTGTTTCCGCAATTTCTCAAGTTCATGGATGCTCTTTCCTCCCTCACCAAGCTGCTCAGTAAGGTCAGAAATCTCCTCTGTGAAATATAGTGATTTTTTTTTTATTTAATGGCCTTGCAATTTATTTTATTTACTAAGTATGTAAATTAAGTATGCATTTCTGTGCTGGTCACAGATTGTCCATAACAAACACCATGTTCAGAAATAAGGGTGTCCACATGTGCACTTGGCACCAGGACACCCTGGGCTGCAGTTCGATGTTCGATTTTGTGGTTGTGTCATCAGGCTTGCAGCCACCTGTCTTGGACACTTGGGTGAAGAGAGGGGCAAAGCTGCCAACTGATCACCACCTTGTGGTGAGCTGGGTCCAATGGTAGGGGAGGATGCCGGTTGAACCTGGCAGACCCAAACACATCGTGCGGGTCTGCTAGGAATGCCTGGCAGAGTCTCCCATCACAAGGAGCTTTAACTCACACCTCAGGGAAAGCTTCAACCATGTCCCGGGGGGAGGGACATTGAGTCCCAGTGGGCTATTTTAGGGGCGTGTTGATGCGACTAATCGGAGCTGTGGCCATAAGGTGGTCGGTGCTTGTCATGGCAGTCATACCCAAACCCGTTGGTGGATACCAGTGGTGAGGGATGCTGTCAGAAGAAGAAGAAGAAGAAGTCCTATCAGGCCTTTTTCGACTGTGGGTCTCTGGAGGCAGCTGATATGTACCAGCAGGCCAAGCAGAATATGGCTTTGGTGGTTGCTGAGGCAAAAACCCTGGCATGGGAGGAGTTCGGTGAGGCCATGAAGAACAACTTCTGAATGGCTTCCAAGAGATTCTGGACCACCATATGATGTCTCAGGAGGGGGAAGCAGTGCACTGTCAATGCTATGGTGGGGATGGTGCGCTGCTGACCTCAACTCGGGACGTTGTTGATCGGTGGAAGGAATACTTCGAAGACCTCCTCAATCACACCAACACGCCTTCCATGGAGGAAGCACGGCTGGGGGACTCACATGTGGGCTCTTCTATCTCTGAGGCTGAGGTTGCTGAGGTGGTTAATAAGCTCCTTGGTGGCAAGGCCCCGGGGTGGATGAGATCCGCCCTAAGTTCCTCGAGGCCCTGAAAGTTGTGGGGCTGTCATGGCTGACACGACTCTGCAACATTGCTTGGACATCGGGGGCAGTGCCTCTGGATTGGCAAACTGGGGTGGTGGTCCCCCTTTTTAACAAGGGGGATTGGAGGGTGTGTTCCAACTATAGGGGGATCACACTCCTCAGCCTCCCTGGAAAGGTCTATTCAGGGATCATGGAGAGGAGGGTCCACCGAATAGTCGAACCTCAAATCCAAGAGGACCGGTGCGGTTTTCGCCCTGGTCGTGGAACTGTGGACCAGCTCTACACTCTAAGCAGAATCTTTGAGGGTGCATGGGTGTTTGCCAAACCAGTTCACTTGTGTTCTGTGACCTTGGAGAAGGCATTTGACCGTGTCCCTCGGGTAGTCCTGTGGGGGGTGCTCCTGGAGTATGGGGTACCGGACACCATGAGAAGGGCTGTTTGTTCCCTGTACGACCGGTGCCAGAGCTTGGTCCGCATAGCTGGTAGTAAGTCAGACTTGTTTCTGGTCAAGGTTGGATGCTGCCAGGGCTGCCCTTTGTTACAGATTCTGTTCATAACTTTTATGGACAGGATTTCTAGGCGCAGCCTGGGCGCTGAGAGGGTCGGGTTTAGAGATCTCAGGATTGAGTCTACTTTTTGTGGATGATGTGGTCCTGTTGGCTTCATCAGGCCACGACCTTCAGCCCTCACTGGATCAGTTCACAATCGAGTGTGAAGTGGCTGGGATTAGAATCAGCACCTCCAAATCTGAGTCCATGGTTCTCAGCCTGAAAAAGGTGGAGTGCCTTCTCCAGGTCCAAGTGGAGGAGTTCAAGTATCTCAGGGTCTTGTTCATGAGTGAGGAAAGAAAGTAGTGGCTGACAGGCTGATCAGTGTCACCTATGGTGACGAAAACAAGATTGCTAGTACAAGCGGCTGAAATGAATTTCCTGGGTGGCCAGGCTCTCCATTAGAGACAGAGTGAGAAGCTCAGTCATTCGGGAGGTTCTCAGAGTAGAGCTGCTGCTCCTCCATGTTGAGAGGAGTCAGATGAGGTGGCTTGGGCATCTAATCATGATGCCTCCTGGACACCTTGCTGATGAGGCATTCAGGGCACGTCCCATCGGTAGGAGACCGTGGGGAAGGCCCAGGACACGATGGAGAGACTACTACTCTTAGCTGGCCCGGGAACGCTGCAGGGTCCCCCGGGAAGAGCTGGACAAAGTGGCTGGGGAGAGGGAAGTCTGGGCTTCTCTGCTCAGGCTGCTGCCCTTGCGAACTGACCCAAGATAAGCAGTACATGGATGGATGGATGGATGGATGGATAGATGTAATTCTGTAGAAATTTAGACAGAGAGCACAGTGATTCATCTCACCCTGTAGGTTCTTATTCTCTCTTTTCATGGTCTCCAAATGATCCAGAGACTCCTCATATGAGTTCTTCAGTTTGAAGAGTTCAGTGCTGAGGGCTCTAGCCTCTTTCTGAGAGCTCTCCAGCTCACACTGAGACTCTTCATACTTCTGCTTCCACTCAGATAGGACCTACAGCAGTCAGACAGGATAAATGTAAGTGTTCATTCACCAGATAAGGAGCAGCAAATAAGGTTTGATAAATACAGCTTGTCAGTTTCCTAAGTTCTTCCTCCTTGGCTTTGGCGGATCTTTGTTAAAAGAAGCGGTAATGCAGGACAATTGAAAACATGTTCATAATGCTGGCATCATACTTTCAAAATGCATATCTTGTTCATATTTTTCCACTTTCAACATTTAATATATTTTGTCCGCATTGTTGGGTGTTATCGTTTGAAAACCATTACATTATATTTATAAAGACTCAGAGTCTCAACTATTTTGGAGTCAGGATTTATTTTTGTTCATTTTGTGGTTCTTCACCTTGTCAAAGTTTCTTTGCTTCTTGTCCAGAGCAGCAGCAGCGGCATTAGACCTCTCCACATCCACCATGAGATCTTCAATCTCATTCTGCAGTCTGTGTTTGGTCTTCTCCAGAGAGGAACATTTTGCATTCACTGCTTCAACAGCCTCCTCAGCGTCCTGCAGACGCTGGGCCAGCTTCTTCCTTCAAAAATCAATCATACAGTTTGTTTACTGTTTCTGTAGTTGAGCTTGTTGGATAGATGATATGATTTGAATGTATGTATCTGGCTGCTTTGTCATCAAACAGACAAACTTTTTGTTTGTCTTACATTTTAGTCGGAACATAACACAAACAAAAAGCTGATCTGCCAGACGTAGTAAAACATCTCCTAAGAAATCATCAAACTGTTATCTCGAGCCTCAAATTGACTCACTTGGCCTCCTCCAGTTCCTCTGTCCTCTGGATGGCATCAGTTTCATACTTGGTTCTCCACTGAGCCACCTCAGAGTTAGCCTTGGACATGCCACGCTGGAGTTCAGCCTTGGCCTCCTGCTCCTCCTCGAACTGCTCCCTGAGCAGGTCACAGTCATGACGGGCAGACTGCACTGCATGAGCCAGGGCACTCTTGGCCTATGGAATTTTTTTTTTTTAATAACAATACAATTACTGAACAGAATTGTCCATTTGAATCAAAGCTCCATTTTACCTTTGTCTCCTCCTCAAGCTGTCTTTTCAGGTCTTCGATCTGTTGAGTGTAAGACATTTTTCCTCTGGTCAGCTGAGACACCAGAGAATCTTTCTCTTCCAGCTGCCTTGAGAGTTCACCTAGTGCATTGTAAATAAAAAGTTTCATTGTCTGTGTCCATAAATACCTTTGCCACCCAGAAGTTAATTTAGAGACATTTAATATTACAGTTAAAATAAAAGACAGTGCTATCATTTTTCAAACATAAGGAGAGGAAAGTAAGTGGTCAGATACATCAATTTGACATCAAATTGAAAAAGAAAACATACCATTTTCTGTCTGAAGTTTTGCTTTTTGCATATTGAAGTCATTGATGCAGCGTTGAGCCTCCTCAAATTTGGTCTTATATTCATTCATCTGATCTTCAACAGTCCTACAAGTCTTCTCAAGATTTGTCTAGGTTAAAAATAATGATTTAGAATACATACTTTTGTCCTAAGTATGCACATATCTGAAAAATATGAATACAAAAGATTGTTTCTCAGTTTAGCAAACCTTTGTCTTCACAATATGTTCCATGTTGGAGACCACATCATCCAGCTCCAGTCTGAGCTCACTCTTCTCCTTCTCCAGTTTCTGCTTGACTCTCTGCAGGTTGTCGATCTGCTCTCCCAGGTCAGCAACACTGTCAGCCTGTTTCTTCCTGAGTGTGGCAGTGGTGGCTTCATGCTGCAGAGTGGCCTCTTCAAGGTCTCTGCGGAGCTTCAGGAACTCTGCCTCTCTCTTCTTGTTCATCTCGATCTGGGCAGCTGTTGCTCCTCCAGCCTCCTCCAGTCTCTCACTGATCTCCTCCAGCTCTCTGGCCAAGTCTGCTCTCTGCTTCTCCACCTTAGCTCGGGCAGCTCGCTCTGCCTCCAGCTCTTCCTCAAGCTCCTCGATGCGGGCCTGTAGAGGCAGGAAAATGTACAACTGTACCTACTGAAAGTTTTACTAAATTTAACCACTATACCTCTAACGACTGTTACCTGGAGCTCCTTCAGTTTCTTTTGAAGCTGAATGGTTATGGCCTGCTCGTCTTCTATTCTGCCATTGAGCTGACTTAGTTCAAAATCTTTCCTGTGGGAAAAAAAAAAACAAAAAAAAAACACAACAATCTGTGGAGCAGCCTCTCCGACATCTTGGAAACACAACAATTTTTAGGAAGTTTTAAAGAGAAAAATAAAGACATAATTCTTGGCTTTTGGTGGTGCTAAGCTGAAGTTTTAATCATCCTGATGTTTGTTTTTCTGATTTGTTTGATGTATCTACTGCGGTTTTTGTCTGTTATAAATTTCTCATGCATCAACAGTGACTTTAATATTTTTTTTTTCTTGTTCAGCATTTTGGGCTGCATCCTTGCATGAGTGGTGCTTTAACAATAAAGTTATCAGTATCCTGACATGGGCTTTGATTTATAGTGTAAGATAGAAGTGTACTTTCAGAAATATGTGAAAAAAAAGGTACTTGCTTTTTCAGATGCTCTTCAAGTTGCTGCTTGTCATTTTCCAGGTCCATGAGACTCTCCTGAGTTAACTTCAAGTCTCCCTCCAGCTTTCTCTTAGCTCTTTCAAGATCCATTCTAACTTTCTTCTCTTGTTCGAGTGAACCTTCAAGCTGAACATCAACATCACAGAAAGTTAATTCACATGCACAGGTACATTGAGTGCACGTGACCTATCAGTAACTGCACTAATATGAGGTTGAAGCAACACAAAATTTAGTTCCTACATCATCTACTTGCTGTTCCAGCTTAGCCTTGGCCTTGGTCAGAGTGTTGACTTTGTCTTCTTCACTCTGCAGGTCATCCAGTGTTTGCTGATGAGCTTCCTGTAAAGCTTTTTTTTCTTTGGTCAGCTTGGCAATGATCTCATCAAGGGCAGCCATCTCCTCAACCAGGTTTTTAACCTGCAAAATGTTTCAAATTAAAAAATGTTGAAACATGCCACTCTTGAAAGCCTGCTCCTGAAAGAAGTAGCAGAGTTGTACCTTGTTCTCGGTGGCATGCTTCTCTTTCTCAACTTTTGCCAGAGTTAACTCTAAGTCATCAATATCCTTCTTTAACTCTGAACACTCATCCTCCAGCTTTCTCTTCTTAGCTGTCAGTTCGGCATTCATCTCCTCCTCATCCTCGAGCCGCTCAGATAGCTCTTTAGCTTTTGCTTCCATCTGAATTTTGTGTTTGATCAACCCCTCACATCTTTCTTCGGCATCTGCAAGATTATCCTGCTCCTAAAGATAAAATAGTCATATATTTCATGACTTCAACATCACATTTTTATTTTGCAGAATAATTCATAACTGTATGGTATTAGTGACTACTTTAATATAAACATTTTTTAATTGTAGTCATTGGCCTTACAGCCTGGACTTGGAGCTGCAGGTCATTTTTCTCTTGGAGAAGAGTGACCATTTTCTCCTCTAGTTCTTTTCTTCGGGCTTCAGATTTTGCATAAGCCTCCTTCAGCTTCAGGAATTCTTCCTTCATGTTGGCCATCTCTTTCTCTGCCTCAGCTGATCTCAGCAGAGGTTTGATCTTGAAGAACAGCTTCATCCAGGGCCAATTTTTGACCCCCATGAAGGCACGGATATTCCACTGGATCACCAATAATGCATCTCTGTTTAAGATTGAACAAAATAATTATTCTAATGCCAAGTGTTATCAGTGTTTACTTGTTATATGCATGTTTTAAATTCTTGATTCATTTGACCTTCTTTCCACAATCTTTTGAAATTCCACTCTTGCCAGCAGACCTCTTGATCTTGCCTGGATTCCAGTAATAATGAGTGACAAACGGTCATCCCTCATTTCCTCCAGCTGACCCAGAAGACCAGCCTTGAAGAACACCTTTTGGAGTGTATAACAGCATAGACACATCCATCAGCTCTCAAGCATACAGGCATTGCACTTGTGTACTCTGAATCTTTAAAGCAACACAGTACAACTGTTGAGATCTCACAAAATGTACCTTCATTACGTTTTATTTCTATTAGACCAAACAATCCAACACCTTTTTCACAAAAAAAAGCTGCTCTTTTAAGACTTCTAAAGTATTTAACGAGCAGTATAGCATCCCACAGCAATCAAAAGTTTTGCAATTCCACAACCAAAAGCAGTTTAAAATCTATAAAAGAGGCAGATGAAGAGAATGAGACCAGAATGGATTAAATCCCCCACATGAAACGCCTCCATACGCTGGATTTTAAACTTGAAGCGTGAACCTCACACTCAGTGACAGCAGCCAGTTAATCAGTTTGTAGTAGTAGTTAGCTGCTTCTATGTTTCCTAACAGTCTGTTATTTGTGTTTCCCTTCAAACTGTGTGTGTGGTTCAATAAGCCCATCCCTTCAGACTGTGTGGGTGGGAAATCATCAATCTCCAATTATTTGTTAATCATAATCAATCGTCACGTGTCCCTTTGCGATGCATCGAAGAATCAATGCACCGACCCACTCACAGTTTAGCAAAACTCAGTCTCATGCAGTGTAAACGTTTAGTTTTTCCTATTTACCATGCAGTTGCACTATTTTAAAGTAGAATTTTTACTAACCTTAGTGTGTCCAAATTTATATTGGTTGTGATCAATATCCAGAGACCCAAGCAGTTTCTCAGCTCCTTTTTTGCTGTCAATGAACTGACCCTCAGGGATGGCAGCAGGATTCAGGATGCGATACCTGAAGAAGAAAATACAATAAAAGTATCAAGTAGATCTTATTCTTAGAATTTCATTGTGCCCAACTTAAATGTAGGTATACCTCTGTTTGAAATCTCCGTAGAGGATCCTGTTTGGGAATCCCTTCCTGCAGATCCTGATGCCTTCCAGCACACCGTTACAGCGCAGCTGGTGCATCACCAGAGGGTTCTCCATGGCCCCAGGAGTCTTGGTCTCATTGGGGATGATGCAGCGCACAAAGTGAGGGTGAGTAGACCTCAAGTTGGTCATCAGCTTGTTCAGGTTCTCCTGAGGAGTTTATTTTACCATGTTTTTTAAAGCTATTATTGGTAATAACTGTGACCATCATTTCTTAGTTATTGGAGTAAAATGAAGATTTTTATATTAAACAGTAATTTTCTGCTTAACTTACCCTGTGCAAGGCAGACACAGTTTGGAAGGATGAACCTTTCTTCTTGCTTCCTCCTCCTTTGCCGCCCTTTCCACCTTCAGCTAGCAGAACAGTGTGTAACTCATTACATTGCTTTAACAGGCATAAATATATATTTTTAAAAGTCCTTGTATAGTTTTCACAAAACATTGCTATTCTCCAGTAGATATCGTACATCTGGTTATTCTTACCTGATTCAGCTCCAGCATAATTTACAAAGAGGAAGGAAAGCAGCTTAAGATTAGACTTCTGGTAGAGTCCTACAACAGTCTCGTTCAGAGGATCCTTGTTCTTTACCAGCCAGTTGTTGATATTATAATCCACCGTTCCAGCGTAGTGCATCAAGGCAAAATGAGCCTCTGGTTTGCCTTTGACAATTCTGGGCTTCTGGAAGTTATTGGACTTCCCCAGATGGTTGTCGTAAAGTTTGGCTTTAAAAGTGGCATCAGAGGCTTTTGGGAACATGCACTCCTCCTCAAGGATGGACATGATACCCATGGGCTAAGGTGATCAAATATAAAAATGACTAATTGTTCTGACAGTCCTCATACATGACTGAAACTGCAATGGTCTTGTATCTCACCTTTTCAATCAGGTCAATGCAGGCCTGTAAGTCCATACCAAAATCAATGAAGGTCCATTCTATGCCCTCTTTCTTGTACTCTTCCTGCTCCAGCACAAACATGTGGTGGTTGAAAAACTGTTGCAGTTTTTCGTTGGTGAAGTTGATGCACAGCTGCTCAAAGGTGTTGAACTGTAAAATGAAGTGGTCCACAGTAAGGCAGAGTTTAATGACCCCTTAAACCAAATACTACTTCACAAATATTATGTCATGTATTATTTCCAGCTCACATCAAAGATCTCAAATCCAGCAATGTCCAGCACACCAATGAAGTACTGGCGAGGCTGCTTGGTGTCCAGGGATTGGTTGATCCTCACCACCATCCATAAGAACATCTTCTCATACACTGACTTAGACAGTGCACCAACAGCGTAGTAAACCTAAAAAAAATAATAATAATTAAAAATATATAAAGTTAGGAGCCATGTTGGTCGATAATGTTTCTTCATTCACATGTGGTTTTCTGAAAAGAAAACATATTTTATCAAGTCCTTCAGAGAATTCCAGTTTTATGCTCACTGAAATGGACAAGCAGGGTCTCATGAACATGCTTTAATGGTGCCTCAAGCAGTTGGGATTTTGGTGCCTTTGGTGCAAACTAGCATTTGTCAGGCTACCAGCCTAATTTCAGTACTATGGTCCATTCAAAGGACCAAAGTTTGGACCCCCCCCCACACACACACACACACACACACACACACACACACACACACACACACACACACACACACACACACACACACACACACACAAACACTTCCAAGCAAGTCCCAACAGATTGCAACTCTGCCTTAAGCCTCAATAATTATTAATTGATACTTTATAGCTAATATAATTCTGGAGTGGTATTCTTACCTGCTGGACATTTTGTCCCTTCGTGACCCACTCATTTCCTACTTTGACTCTTGGGTGACAGAGACCTTTAATGAGGTCAGCAGAGTTCAGGCCCATCAGGTATGCAACTTTGTCTGCATCTGGAAAAAAAAAGAGCTGTAAAATCACCCATTTAGAATGACTGAAGATATAGAAAGACTGACTAAAAATGTGTGAAGTGATCAAATGGACCTGGCATCTGTGGTGTCCTTGGGGATGGAAGTGTGGCGTTTGACCCTGGTGTCCTCATAACATTAAAAGACAGCCACAACAGTACCCTTACAAATGCTCCTATATTTAATGAAACTTTATAAACTGCCCCCTTTGGTGCCCTGTCCATGGAAATTTCTTTAAAAATGTTTGTAGTTGCAGCCCTTCTCAAAGGTGAAACTTGACAAATTGCCCTCTGGATGCCTTCTGAGTATATAAAACTTAAAACAGCAACAGATGCCGTTCAGTATACGAAATTTTAAAAAGTGCCTTCTTGATGCCCTGGATAAAAGACTAAAAAAAAGTGTGCTATAGGAGTGCTCATTCTAAGGCCGCCCTCTAAGAATATAAAGTGGGAAACGGTAGTCTCTGGATGCCAGTCCAGTATATGAAATGTAAAAATATTCCAACCGGAAAGTGCTCCTCAAATAAACTGGATGAAAAAAGTGCCTACTGGATACCTTTCCAATAAACAAAATGTGATCATTCATGAAATGAAATGTTAGATGCTCTAAATCTTAATTAACAGCTTTTTGTTTGCAGCTGTCTCATGACATGCAGGGAGTGCTCTTCTTCTTCTTCTATCTCCTGTCTCTCCAACAGCCTGAGTGCACCACTGCCTGTCCTCTCTATGTTTGTCATGATTTCGATTTTAGTCAAGTTTTCTTACCCTCTGTGCCATCAGCCTCTGCCTGCTCCTCTCGCTGCTTGTTCTTGAACTTCATGTTGCCATGATGCATAATGGCACCAGTCAATTTGTAAATACCGTTCTTCTCCTCTTGAGTGAAGCCCAGCACATCAAAGGCATCCTATAAGAAAACAGGACAGGCATATTTGATATTTCGAGCGAACAGAATAATTTAGTAGTCTGTCCTAGTGGTTTCAGTCCAAACCACCAGGGTCCCATAGAAAACACCTCAACCCTGTCCCACAGATAATGCAGCTTCATTACTAAGAATTTATCTTTTCATATTACGTTATATAATAACCTCTACCTGGATTGTTTTTTACAGAAATTAACTGGTCATTCAACAATTTTTGCCCTTAATACAAAGCACTTCCAAAGTCTGGGTTTCATCTCCATGTGAGGGCCTGAACTCATGTCTGTTGAGGAAATGTCTTTGTTTCGCAAAATGCTGTGAATTAGTTGGGATAATGTGGTTAAGGTTACTGTTAACTTTGTTTCTTTGGGAACCATAAGCATAGTAATTATTGCTGGAAAGTGTTTTGAAAGATTACAAAAGCCTTTGTAAACCTTTTACATGAGAATATACTGGTTGTGAAATGAAAATTATGAACAGCTTAAAAGTTACTTGATGTCAGTATGTGTTAAGTTCTGCTGACACTTTAATGCTTCCCCTACTTACATCAGTGGCCATCAGCTCATCAGCATCATTGATAGAAGCTACAGTTGTCTCTCCTTGGGAGATGAAGGCGTAGTCATAGGGGTTGTTGGTGATGAGCAACATTTCTAAGGAGCAAAACAGTTTAGTCGAGCCTTTATTCAAACAATATACCTGCTAACTCAAAACTGTGTTAACATCACCTATTATACCCACCAAGCAGCTCGGGTTTCTTCTGAGACAGAATCTGGTAGAAGATGTGATAATCTCTCTCAGCCTTCAGTTGAAAGGTGACACGGGACTTTTCCAGCAAATCTGTAGAGACATTAGTTGTAAGGAAGTGAGGCCATACTGTAGGTTGCAATGACAGACAAGATAATAGTAAAAACTATAGACTGCTTACATGTTTCAATATCAGCTGAGGCTAGCTTCCCACTGGCTGCAAAGTGAATTCGAATGAATTTGCCCTAATTTTAAGAATAAACAGAGAAAACAACTTTTAAATATAGTAAGTACAAAGAACAGTGCCACTGCAGAGAGAAACTTACAAATCGGGAAGAGTTGTCATTCCTGATAGTCTTGGCATTCCCAAAGGCTTCCAATGCTGGGTTAGCCTGGATGATTTGATCCTCCAGGGTTCCCTAAAAATGTGAAAAACATCATTCAATAAAGATGAAAACTCTTAAAAAATGTATCTTATTCATTTTAAGGGCTTATATATATATATATATATATATATATATATATATATATATATATATATATATGTTGTGTGTGTGTGTGTGTGTGTGTGTGTGTGTTTATATATATATATATATATATATATATATATATATATATATATATATATATATATATATAGTGTGAGTTTTATGTATTTTGGGATGTATTTACTCCATGATCAGATGTTGCTTTCATGGAAATGCACCATTTTACTCCATTTGAAAACATTTTTAAGAGTCACAACTTCAGTGCAAAAGCAAAAAAACAAATCATAGTTGGATTATTCACTTCAACTCTTGGCTTTTGAGAGTCTGCATACAAAAATCCTAATAAATCTCAACTGCGTTCAAACTACCACAAAAATGGCTAGAAAGAAGCAACCGAGTAAAGAAACAAAAGTACTGATTTGTACATTGAGGAAAGAAGGATACACAGAAAGAGAAATTGCAAAACGCCTAAAGGTGTTTAACAAAGGAGTCCACTACACTCTGAAGAGACTAGAGGAACCTGGAAGTTATGATGACATAAAAAGACCTGGATGAAAGAGAGTCACTACAAAAGCAAAGGATAAACATAGCATTGTCACCAGTAAGAGAGATCGGCGAAAAACAGCACCACAAATAATGGAGGAAATCAACATGACAAGGTCGACACCCATATCTCTGACAACCGTGAAATGACGTTTGAGAAAGTCTGGTCTGAAGGGTTGTGTATCTGCAAAAAAACACTACTTCGTCGACAGAACAAGAAAGAGAGATATGAGTGGGCAAAAGCTAACAAAAATCGGACTTATGATGGCTAGAAACAAGTTTGCACTGTTTGGTTCAAAACGCCGTGTCTATGTCCGCAGACAAACTGGTGAACGTCTGAAAGCACCATGTGTTACACCCACAATTCAGCATGGAAGTGGTAGTTCCATGGTATGGGGATGTTTTTCAGGTGATGGAGTAGAAGATTTGTTTGAAGTAAAGGGTATCATAAGGAAGGAACAGTACTACTCCATCCTCCAGCACCATGCTGTTCCATCTGGACTCAGACTTGTGGCTCATACGTTTGTTTTGCAGCAAGACAATGACCCTAAGCACTCTGCCAAGCTCTGTCAGGGTTACCTATACAAAAAAAGAAGAGGAAGGTGTTCTTCAAAAGATGGTTTGGCCCCCTCAGTCTCCAGACCTTTCTCCAATTGAGCTTGTGTGGGATGAATTGGATCAATCGGTCAGAAAAACACGTCCCACGAATCAGCAGTCTCTTTTTAATGAACTTAAGAAAGCTTGGAATGCAATCCCTGGAACATACCTTAAAAAACTTGTGGAACGAATGCCTGGTATATGCCAAGCTGTTGTTAAAGCCAGAGGAGGTTACTTTAAAGAAAGCAAAGTCTAAGCAACAATAACTCAAATACCTCATAATTATAGTCAAAATGTTTTCTGATAAGTTACTCTTTACACAATTGTCATGTTTATTGTGTTAATTATATACATGAAACTATGATTTTTTTTTGTACAAATCTGATCTTGCTTCCAAACTTTTGGCCTGTGTGTATATATATATATATATATATATATAGCCAATTATTATGGGATGCACACCTTTTTGTCAGAACCTGTGTCTTTTTTGCCACCTCCAGCTGCAATGCTGGCAAAGTACTGGATTACTCTCTTGGTGTTGACAGTTTTCCCGGCACCAGATTCTCCACTGCAGAGAGAAAAAAAGTTGATAATAGAAATAAATGGACAAATGGGGTTCAAAATAGTATACTACATATAATTGTGTTCCTGTTTTGAACTAATCAACATAAATGCAGCCTCATACAGCTAGGTCATCTGTGGGAATTTGTAGCCTGTGTTCTTGTTGTTTTTACTCTAAATTGACCATCCCCATTGACAGTTACATTAGACAATGTGAATGGGTTTTCTGCAAGAATTAATTTGTTGACCTTTGCCCTCACTCATTTTCTCAGTTTGCAGTTGACGCATCTTTAAAATAAATAAGGCTAAAGTCACAACTTTCAACAGTGATGCTTCCATCTGTGCCACTCATGTTTTTTTCTGCAAAACAATCGGTAACGTAGAGATAGACTCAACAGCTCTGCTGCTTTTGCAGGATAGGACCTATTAATAAAACATCTATATTATATAGTCTAACAGTTAAGCACACTAACAGAAACAAATGCCTTTGCCAATGGTGTCAATAAGCAGAAAGAAAATGTGCCAGAACAACTTTGCACGCATTAATTTGACATGACATGCAATCTTCCTTCCTGTGGCATCGCTCTTACTCTGCAGATTTGATAGCTTCTGTCAAGAGGCTCACACCCATCAGGATTGTGTATTTGACACAGATAGACCATAAAGAAAGCCAGGCAAAAATCATCATCAGTAACCTTTCTGGACAATAGAAATCTCACTGGGATCAACCTCAGAGTATCAGCAACAATCAGCTGTTTCTAATGGCTTTCATATTATTACAAGTAAAAATTGTAACTCACGTGATGAGAATAGACTGATTTTCTCTGTCTGAGTAGAAGAGAAAAGATCATGAGAAAATGAGAAAAGGATACTTTTGCTGTTTTTCATCATTTTGTTCATAGCTATATAACTGATGGTTAATTACCAGTTAGCATGTACTGATAGGCATTATCAGAGATGGAGAAGATGTGAGGAGGAGCTTCACTCCTCTTCTTTCCTCTGTAGGCAACCACCACTTCTTGGTTGTAGACTGGGAGCCACTTGTAGGGATTGACGGTCACACAAAAGAGCCCAGAGTAGGTCTGTGGAAAAGAGAAAAAGTTAAAATACATTTCTTAGAGATATTGAGTATTGAATACACACTTAAAGAGGAGGACAGAGCAAAATCTGAAGCAAAATTATTTTCCCTAATCAGATTTTAATCACTTGAAACCTGAATACAGCTTATTAGGCTGGGAAATCAATTCCAAAACAAGAAGGACCTGAAGGATAATCTGGAGGTGTCTTGGCCACATAAGGTCTTTCAAAAGCTGAAACTTACAGAAAAATTCTACACCAACTGCCTGACATACACAGGTATGGGTTTTAATGAAGTAAACCAGTCATCACACCACTTTGTTGAAGAATACACAGAAATCTTAAAGGTTATGGTTTATTGTTTGTGGCTGGCAGAATAATTACTTTGACTCATGCCAAATTTTTCAACAAACTCTTTTTACAGAGGGTAATTTCTACTGCCCAATGTAATCCCTCTGTATTAGCTGCATCATAGAGATATCAAGCCTGTTGTGATCATTGTAAAGATAAAGAAGGTATGATTGTTGCATGAAGGGTTGCAAGGTTTTCATCTGAAAGAACACTATTGCAGCAGGGAACATGACATCATACAACAGCAACTAGTGAGTTGTGGATGCCATCATTATGTGCATGTAAGTAAAGTTTCCTGATGTTTGCATGTAACTGTCCAGACCCTGCAAAGTTCTGAAAGCAGGCTGCAAAGGAACAGGAGACTGAGGTTGTTCATTTCAGATCCTGCTGTGGTCAGTAAAATTATGTGAGCTGTTGATTTATGAACCTGATGTGTCGTTCTGTGATTTCATGGTACTACAGATGACAGGTGCAGTTTCTCCTCTGAAAGACTCACATAGATCATCCATGCTGCGTAACGCTCTTTGAGGTTAAACAGCACAGCTGGTTCATGGAGGAAGGTGAACATGGCCATGTCTTCGATTTTATCAAACTTTGGCGGATTCTGAGGGTGGACATCCATCTCCTTCACTGTCACAGTCTGGAATGGAAACAGTCACTATTATTATAATGTAATAGACCCTTCTGAATATCAGCATTTGTCAAAGTTTGTTTTTTATAAATACACTGTAGGTCTAAGCACAGGATTATCATTCCATCATTTCATGTGCAGCTCAGTGTCTGGCTCATGATGTTCCTCTGCTATGTGTGACTAAAGGACAGATGGGTCTCATGGATCAGTAGTTGCATCCAGGGCAGCTCTCCTGCCAGCTCACTGACCTTTCCTTTCTCAGTCTGAGCAGTGACTTTATCCCCCTCTCGGCTGACAACGGAAGCCTTCACAAACTCCTCATCAGGGTCAGGTACAAAGCACTCTTTCTTCATGTCGAAAGGTCGGGTCTGGGCCTCCAGACGCTCCCTGTCCGACTTCCTCAGGTATGGGGCTGCTGCCCCAAACTCTTTCATGGCAGCATCACCCATTTTTCACCTTGTCTACAGAAACTCAGGTTATATAATTTCAACTTTGTTATTCATTTATTTGACAAATGGGAAAACTGTAGAATAGAAACACACATACTCCAGTTAAGAACCTTTTCTTTTATGAATCATCAGATAATACTCTGTATTTTTCTCATTTTATAAACAATATTCATTGATTTTTATCACATACTGTACATATTTATCTAAAGATACTCTTACCTTACCAATCCTTCTGAGGAGATGGAGGTGTAAAGGTCCTGAGGAAAGAAGTAATGGAAACTAATCAGCAGGTCAGTCTACAGCAACACAGGCAATGATTTAGACTCCCAGTTGATGTCCAGTGTCCCAGCACCTTACCTTGAGATTGAACGGTGACCTGTTGGGGGTTTCACCATGAGTTCTCCTTTTAAACAAAGCCTCTCTACCAAATATGGAGGAGGGATACAGGGTCCAGGAATGTTATTGTGTCTGACTTAGGTTCGGGGTACATAAAGGGAGGGGGGTTAATGAGTGGCACAGAGCAATATAGAAATCAGCGGGTCAGAGTCTTATCAGTGATGGAGTCTTCTGGTGAGGCCATATTAGGAGCTCCACGCAGAGCAACCATTAATCATAGGTATCCTCAAGCAGCCAGGGGACCACAACTCAGTCTTTAAATAGACACAGGGAGGAATTCCTTTCTCATCATACCTCAGATCTACTCTGCTTCTGTTACAGAAACAATACACTTCCAAACAGAAGCAGCTTCACCTAAGACCTCTGCTGATGTAGAATTCTTTGAATGTCTTGGTATGTTGAGTGATCAAATTCAAAAACAATGTTGGTAACATGCTTGTTACACAAAAAATTAAAGGCACTGTAAGGGTTTCTAAGTGGTTGAGAAAAAGACTGAAAATGGTACTGATGTCTCTTCATGTCCTCCACGGGCAAAGAAGACCACCAGCAACAAGTTGATAATTTCTCTGTAGTAGATTTTAATGCCTGAAACAGCTGTGAGGGGGGAGGTGTCAGACCAGATGACAAACAGCAGGCTGGAGAAACAGTCTGCCCTGGCTATTGCTCATAATGAGTGAAAAAGATCCCTGTTTTGAGATGATAGGACAATGTTTTTGTTCATTGCTTTTACATGTATAGTACAAAAGACAAGAAATACATCTTAGTCCCAAGAGGGTGCCTCACATCTGCGTAACTGTTTTTGATTTTTTCTTTCTTTTTTTTGTTTATGATTTTAATTTTACATTTGATTTATTTATTCTTTTGATAGTTTTTACACCAAACATTAATAACAGTCACTAAAAATAAAAAAAGCACAATGCAGAAAAACAGCCAAAAGCTGTTAAGGGGGCACACAAAATAGCCCAGACAAACAGTATATGATGCTGATGTGCATATCAAATAAAAAAGCATTCTTTCGCATTTGGTTAGTTTAAAACAGTTAAATTATATTTTTGTTGAGAAAATCAAAATCAAACTTCTTGTAAGTTTTGTCACTTTAAAGCTGCTGTAACAAACATTTGGTGTTCATCTTTCAGAACAGTAACATGCCTCACTCTGTAAAAGCAATAGCCATTGAGAAAGCAAGAAAGATTGTCTCTTTAGCCTGCTATTACTCATCTGGAGTGACACCTCCCCCTCGCCATGGTTTCAGGCATTAAAAATCACAGCAGAGAAATTGTCATATTGATCATCCTTGATGCTGATGGTCTTGTTTGCTTTTGTCATTAAGATTCATCAGTATCTGTTTCAGTCTTTTTTTCAACCAATTGAAAACTCCTTACAGTACAAATTGTATTGTTTCATTGATGGCTGTCTTTATTTTATACATGTAAGATAAAAACAGTAGTTAAAAATAAAATATGAACAAGAAGAAAAGCAATGTTTTTTTTTTTCAGCAAACACTGGTACATCAAAATTTGCTTGTGCAAAATAGAGGCAGGAGGAAGTGTGAATTTATATATCTCTTCCCCTTCATGTGCTAGTTATTCCCTTTTAATAAATTCTTAATTAAATTCTTAATGCACTTGTCAGCATATTGTCATCATCATAATTAAAGCTTCTGTGGGGATTTCTCAGTTTGTGTCAATTTGGATTGGATTAGATTAACAAAGACCATCCTCTACCCTAAACCTCAGTACTTCATGTGTGGGTCTCAGTTACACAGAGAACTTAAGTGGAGGGATGTGGTGGTAGCATATTATAATCAGTTATCATACAATGGACTTGGCAGTCACAGAAACGGCCATCAGATACCGAGTGGGTCGATCTAAATAAAGAACATCAGTCTGTGAGATTAACCAGGCGACAAGTGCGAGGCTGCGCAGACAGAGGCCTACCACAGGTGACATGCCTGAGATTCACAGAAAGGCAGTAATGATGACACACAGTAGAGAAAACGCAAGTATGACATGCCCCAATGGGATGCCAAGGTCGCCGTGGAAGCCTCCCCCTGTTATTAGACAGCAGCTAGCAAAAAGCTGGCCCCTTGGTTACAGTGCTGTTGACATGGCATTGTGTCTCCGAGGACAAAGATAAATGTGTGAAATTCCTGCTGATTGAGGAGAACAGCCACGGAGGCTTTCAGGATCCTGCACCGAGGATCAGATGTAGCAGATGATGGCCACACACTGGACTTTGTCTCGCATAAATATAAGAAGAGTGAAAGGTTGAACCAGGGACCAATCAAATCAAAATACACAACTTAAAATGCTAGCTGAGGTACTTTAGCTTTAACCAAATTTCAGTCATAAAACTGAAAAAAAAATTACCTTTGAAACATTATAGCCACAGAAATAAAAATCCCCCTGCTTTTGGTTCTGAAGTCACCTTACTATCAGGAGCTTCAAACTTATAGCACCTGTTTATAATGATATATATATATGAGCCAGTCACTAGTACCAGTTATCATAGCCCCTTCAAAGGTCAAGAGATAAAAGGAGGGTCCACAACTGCTGACAAGTGCTGAGATTATTTCCATTCCGATAACTTCCCTGGCCCTTATACTGACAGCTGGCGTCAAGGTGTCAAATGGAAGTGAGAGATTCCAAACCCCCACTAAAGACCAAGTGAAGATAACACTGACCTCACAGGTCAAACTGCTGCTCAGTGAAGAGAAATTAATTCAAAGAAACCATTTCTTTAGATATATGAAGTCCAAACAAACGTTTGGTATAGTGGACTCAAAAGTCAAATGCACTGACATTTTATATGCAAAAAAACATTTCAGTTAATGCAAAAAAAAACATTTTATAAAACACACAAATATTTCTTAAAACATTTCATGAAATTCAAAATTATTTTGCTCAACATACCACCAATAACATACCACCATCATGAAACACATAAACACTTTGTGGAACACATTTAACAGTGGTTTGTGTACTTGGTAGGCAGCCTTGATTGAGCTAGACCAGGGGTCGGCAACCTTAAACACTCAAAGAGCCCTGTTTTGCACAGAAAAGCCAACTTAGGGAGCCACAAAACCCCTTTGACATCTAAAATGACGACAACACTGCATCTCTTTTTTTTCCTTTTTTTCTTTTTTTTTTTACCCTTATGCAAAAATATTTTTTAAAAACTGTTGTGTGTTGCATTTATGAAATCAATGAACTGCTGCCAGGAAAATGAACTCTTATTTCTGCAGGCAAACAAATATTTTTTAACAGTTTGAACTAACATTGAAAAAGACACTGAGTTAAAGGTTGCTTTCAAATAAAATGTTCGATGTCTAATTGAGTCCTCTTCCTGTTCATGACATCAAAATTTGAACTTGCCAACTGCAGCAAACCAAAAATGCCATCTGCTTCTGTGTGCTGTCATCATTTAATCGCGTACTGGAGTGTGCAGTCAGCTGTCAACCTCAATTAAAAAAAAAAATACTATTTCACTGGATAATGTAAGATTTATATTTGAAAAACAACAGCCAACTAAAATATTACATTTACTTAATGTGACTTTCGCTTCTGAACCTCAGCGCACAACGTCTTGAGATCAGGGCTGTATGACGTCACCTTCATCTTTACACAGGTTTTCGGTTTTCACGCAGCAGAGAGATGAAAGAGCCGCATGCGGCTCCAGAGCCTCGAGTGGCCGACCCCAGAGCTAGACTTTTTTGACCAGGGTGACCAAACTAGGGTTTGTTGCCATGAGTATTTGTGGCTTACCCAATATTTTGGAGGGCGATCTCCTCTATCACATGTACTTTAATGTATTATGTAAAAGAATGAAAAAGTGTTAGATTACTGTTTATAATTTTCAACTCTGAAATATGACTCATCCAAGAGGTAGCATTTAAATCTGCTGCACTTTATTCTAAAACACTAAGATTTTGTCCCAAGTCACCATTTAAAGAACCAACAAAAGACAATGTTGCACATTGAAATGTTAAGACTCATTCTGTAGCCCGTTAAACATGACACAAATAGTCACTTTCAGTGTGAGTAAACCAGTTTAAAAAAAATGCACAAAGAAAAGATTTTCATAAGGTAAAGGGAAGAGGAGGGTCTAATTACACTTACAAAATGTGATTGCCTTTGATGCTCTGTTTAAATGTAGCTCTGGTTCAATGTGATTACATACTATATTGATGTATATGAGCATATGTAATTATTTATTTATAGTTTCTTTTATTTTTTTGTTTAGGAATTATTCACTCTGGGATTCTAAGGTAGTTATTGGATGTAAATAACTTGCAAGATAAAGGGTAGACTTTAAAAGTCTAGACTTCTATACTATACTCTTCCTCCCTTTCACATATGTATTATGTTTTGGTGTATTAACTTTTTGATTTTTTTTAAATTATTTGCCTTTTTTTAATATTTCATTTCTCTGGGCTGGTAATTGATTTTATTATAAATAACTTTATTACCACTTTAATCTGATAAGTAATGACTTTATTAAGACTTTGTTCTAGTTAGTTATGGCTTTATTATGACTTTTTTATTGTAGGTAATGACTTTATTACGACTTTATTCTGGTAAGTCATGACTTCATTACGACTTTATTCTACTTCATTATGACTTTTTATGACTTCTTTCTTGTAAGCAATGACTAACAACTCTATTCTGATTAGAAATGATTTTATTATGACTTCATTCTAGTTAGTTATAACTTTATTATGACTATATTCTAGTTAGTTATGACTTTATTATGACTTTTTTCTTGTAAGTAATGACTTTATTACAACTTTATTTTGGTTAGTAATGACTTTATTCTCTTTAGTAATGACTTTATTTTGATTATCTTGAAGACTCCAAAAAAGGCGAACTGGACTGTGTAGAGTTGAGAAGACGTTTCGCCTCTTATCCAAGAAGCTTCTTCAGTTCTAATTATTGCTAGTGTGAGGAGCAGATATTTATCTTATTGGAGAAGGGGACAAACAATGACTGGGAGGAGTTGGAAAGAATAGGTCGTAGAAACCCATCTCCGGGTGTTCTCCCCGAGGGTCGTTAACGACCCCTGTCATGTGACCACATGACTCATGCCACCTGGGTCATCTGTTCCCAGGTGTGAATGTTTTTCTTGTTTTTTACATGTTCATGTGGCATTTTTCTGATGCTACAGGACATAACATGAGAAAAATAAATGTGAAATTGCATTTCTGAGTATTTCATCATTCAAATTGCTTTGAATCTCTGGCAGAACCAAACAGCAGGTTCAGACACAGTGAGATTTCCTTCATCACAATTCCAAGCTCCGCCCCGGAGCCCCGCTATGCAGGCCAGACTCAGAAAAATAGAGAGGATAATCGCGGAACAAGTGTGTGCTGTAGCGGATTGCAATGCTCGTAAGAAAGTTAATTATGATATTAACTTTCATCATGTCCCCAAAGACATTAATGTCCGAGAGCTAAATAGCTCCTATGTTACCTGCTACTTCTACTACACCAGCATTGTTAAGCTACAAGCTAGAAGTAGAAGAGGAGTGTGCAGAGCAGCTCTGTCTCCGCCCACGACTCAGGGGCGAATTGTTAATGAGCTACTAAAGCTCTGCAAATGACACAGGTAACGCGATTTTGGCTAAAAGCTTCTTTATCACAATTTAAAGACTACTGACAACACTTTAAGTAGTAAAAAAAAAACATCAGACTTCAACAAAAGACCTCAGTAGAGGGGTCAAAGTGCGGACCCAGTTAAATGTTTGATGCTGTTGTAAATGTGCGTCTCTTATACACTGTGTATACTATTCTGTGATGTACTGTGGTGGACTTTGTGGAATGGAGACAAATTTCCCCATAAACCTTGACAATAAAGTCAAGGTCTATGTCTAATTCCCAGATGAGTAAATAGTTTCTTTATGTGTTGTGAATTTCTTTAACAAGAGTTACCATTGGTACCCATATTGTAGTTACAAATGACCTGAGATAACATTGAGTGAGACCAGGAAATAGAGCTAACTTGTTTTCTTATCAACACAATCTGGAGGTATCAAGTGTGACGACCCCAAACTCCTGGGCAAAGACAGAAAGCGTCATGTATCAGTCATGAAGGTGGTCTAATTACGGAGCTGTGTGTTGTTCCATCTTTGGTCAGTCCTCTTGTTGGGGTCAGATGTCCTGTTAATTATGCTGATAATCCTCAATACAAACTGTACTGCATGTTCGGAACCTGTTTAGCCAGAGGTGTGAATGTTTTTTCATTAGGTAGGAGATACCTGTTTGCTCATTTACGGACTAAAGGGCAAGACATGTAATAAGAGAGGACACAGGACTCCCTGGATTGAACAGTAAAGGAGTTAAGGGCCTCCCCCTGCTTGCAAAAGTCATTATTTAGCTTCAATCAGCAGCAGTGATTTAGACCTAACATCAGCACAAAACAGTAGAAAAACAGATAAGAATAGCTTGATTCAGAGTGTAAAAATAAGCACAGGTGCATGTAGCACATTTCTTTTGGCACCAGTAACTAGTTTATAATACAATTTAATGTCCAGTGTTGATAAAATAGCTCTTCCCTTTATATCACGGATTGAAATGGATGGATAAAGAATTTCCAAAAATGCTCTTTAGATATTAAACCTAACATCCCTTACTAAATGTAGTTGTAGGTTCGATATGCTGGTGTTTTGTTTTGTCTGTGTTTATGAACCATATGTTGGTTATGGTTCTTTGAACTCATCCTCAGCCCTTAGAGGAAAAGGCGGACTGAAACAGGGATTTACTAACAGCTGCGAGTGATTATGCATGGTATTAGGGCAGGCCTAAGTATGAGCTTTGGTTCATTGTTGACCCTGGGTTCCAGGCTCTCTGGCTTTCTGTAACACTATTTTAAGAACAAGAGATTTGTTCAATCTCTCCCTATTTTAGCAATGGTCCCACCTCAGTTTTCTCAGTTACAATACACCTCTATACCACCCTTTTTTATTCCATACAGTTTTCCTGCTTGGGTTACCTCTGCTTTTTCCTGGTATTTTATACCTACAACTCACAGTGTCTAAATTGATTAATAGAGTCATTGAATCAGTGCAACTGAAACTGGATGTTAAAAATACATGTAAACACATGATATGACTGAAATGGCACTCAGCTGAACTTTTCATAGCTGAACTGACATACCTAGATAGTGGGGTTGGAGAGTGATTTACTTTCACATAAATACACCTCATTTCCACATATGAATGTGCACCCAGATAGGTCAACCCATCCATTCATTCCTGTGAGAATCTAACAATACATTTCTGAGCTCCTGCAAAGCTAGGAGGCCAGAAATGTCCCCGCTGCCATCCTGTAGACCTCTTTTAGGTCTATGTGAGCCTTCTTTATGTGAGGCTGAAAACCAGGGGTGGCCGAGCCTTCTCGCCAGTAGACCCCCAAACTCTGGGTTGAGCTGCCCCCTCATGTTGGATTGTCCCCAACATTGATGACTTTTAAATCCCGCCTGAAAACATTTTTTTACTCCTTGGCTGTCAACCTAGCATGAGAGTTGTGTGGTCTCCGTCTGTTCTTTTAATAGATTTTTATTGGCTCTAACAGTGTTTAAATTGTATTTATTCTTAAAGTATTTGTATGCGGTTTTATTATGATTCTATTAATTTATTCTAGTTCATTCTCTGATAGTGCTTTTTGTCCCGTTTGTTTTTACTCATTTTACCGCACTGTGCAGCACTTTGCTAAACTTGATTGTTTATTTTATTTCATTTGTTATCTAAATAAAGTGAATTGGATTGGATAACTGATATCCTGTCATCCCCTTGATAATATTTCAGACCCTAATCTACCTTTAGTGCATTGAACAGCGACACTATATGCCAGTGTGTATGCTGAATTAACTGGCAGCTAACTGGCTAATAGGCCATTTCCTTCAATGTAGTTGCCTTTCTAAAGGTCCAATGAAATTGTCTAATGAAAAATAGGGGCTGTTACTATCATCTCAGTTGCTTATATCTTGGTTATCAAGTAAGTCTATGCGATTAATAAAAACATGTTGATGGAGTGACATCATATCTGTAATCTAAGTAATGTTATTCTGTTAAAATATGGCGAAACATTTATATATAATAAAAATAAGAATACAATAATTTTATTTATAAGTGCCTTTCTTAACATTAAAGGTCACTTTACAGATAAGAACAGGAGAAACAGTAGAATAAAACAAGATGAAAGCAAAAAGATTATAAAATACTCCAGGGAAATGACAACGAGTGGGCTGAACAGGTGGGTTTTCAGTCTGGATTTGAAGACAGGGAGAGAGTCAATGTCCCAGATCTGGTGGGAGAGTTCCAGAGTTGGAGAGCAGAGCGGCTGAGAGATCTACTCTCCATGGGGTCCATGTCACACTAAATGCATTTATCGGGACTAGTCCTGATTTTGGTTGGATTTTGAAGAATCTAGTTTTTGTGTTTTTGCATGTAAACATCATATTCCGATTCAAGAGATAAGGGCTTATACTGCTTTTCTTATCCCTTACATGACAAAAATGATGGAAAAACACAAAAAAGAGCAGCTCAGTCAGGTTTATTAAGGACTACAGGATGTAAATAGTGATAGTTTAGGGGAACTACAGTACACAGCACACAAAGGTTTCTCTGAAGGTTCCACAGGTTCACTCCTCATCAAAGCCTTTCTGTTGCAGCCAGGATAGTTGGAAGGAGAGAGAAAGAGAAACAGCTGTAAGGGTCTTTAGATTAGTATTGCACAGTTTTAAACAGAAGCACTGCTGTTGACTTTACACTAATCTGTTCCAACACTTGAAAAGCAGCGCAGCATTCAAGTTAACTCGCAGCCATGAGAGGGCAGCATGTGTCAGGGTCAGATGCTGTGCACCTGGTACAGAATGCATGCTTTCAAACCTTGGGCCCGGCATCCCGACTCTTGGCACGAAGCTTGTTGACCTGAGTCTCGGCAATGTCAGCTCTCTCCTCGGCTTCATCCAGCTCATGCTGCAACTTACGGAACTTGCCAAGATGAACATTGGCCTGTTCCTCCTGTTCAATATTGAAGCAAATATAAAGTTACAAAGTAAAGGGGGAAACAACAGCATGTTGACCTCACTTGGCAAATTTTCTCACTTACAGCTTCCTCTGTAGACCTCTTGTAAGCTTTGACTTTGAGCTGCAGCTTATCAACCAGATCTTGGAGCCTGGCAATATTCTTGCGGTCCTCCTCACTCTGTGTAGAAAAGAACAAAGGTTACAAACTTACCTTGAATAAAGAACCATAAGCACACATGCGGCTCTGACTACCCTCAACAAACCTGGTAGGTAAGCTCCTTGATGCGTCGCTCATATTTGCGGATGCCCTTCACAGCCTCACTGCTTTTCTTTTGCTCCATTTCAACCTCATTTTCCAGCTCCCTCACCTGGTCAGGGATAATGTTTTTATTTGTTTTTATATTGTGTTTTCTTAACAACAAACTCAACAACACTACTGGCCACACGCAAATATATACTGTATGTTACACTCACCCTGGCCTCGAGCTTCTGCACCTGCTTCTTTCCTCCCTTCATAGCAATCTGTTCAGCTTCATCCAGACGGTGCTGCAGGTCTTTGATGGTTTGCTCCATGTTCTTCTTCATGCGCTCCAGGTGAGCACTGGTGTCCTGTTCTTTCTTCAGCTCCTCAGCCATCATGGCAGCATCAGTAATGGCCTTCTTGGCCTTCTCCTCAGCATTCCTACACTCCTGAACTGCATCCTCTACTTCAGTTTGGAGCTGGGCTGTGTCTGCCTCCAGCTTCTTCTTGTGATTTATCAGGCTAGTGTTCTTTGATACACAATAAGGGTGTTTATTACACAAGGAAATTTGCAGCATCATTTTTTTTTAAAAAGGCTAATATCTAACATACCTGTGAGTGCAGCAGCTGCACCCTCTCACTGACATCCAGGAGCTCTTGCTCAGCGAGTTTGCGACCTCTCTCAGTTTGCTCCAGAGCAGACCTCAGCTCCTCAACTTCAGCCTGCAGGAGGTTGTTGCGTCTCTCAACTATGGCAATGTTTTCTTTCATGTCTTCATTTGCACGCAGAGAGTCATCAAGTTGGAGTTGAGAATCCTGTAAAATCGTTAATACATCTAGTTAGACAATTTCCACTGCAATGATAACATTAAAAACAAAAAGTAAGTTTCTTTTCTACCTTCAGATGTGCATGAACAGCCTTGAGCTGTTTCTGAGCCTCAGCTGCCTGCCTGTTGGCCTGGCTAAGCTGGATCTCCATCTCATTGAGGTCTCCCTCCATCTTCTTCTTCAGACGGAGGGCCTCATTCCTGCTGCGAATTTCAGCCTCAAGGGAGCTCTGCAGGGTGTCAATGGTCCTCTGGGAGTTCCTTTTGCATTGCTCCATTTCTTCATCTTTCTCAGACAGTTTACGCTCCATGTCTGCCTTAACTTGGGCAAATTCAAGCTGGGCTCTCAGAATCTTTCCCTCTTCATGTTCAAGAGAAGCCTAAGAAAGGCACAAACAAGCATACAACTATTTTCAAGGCCAATGTACGGTGATATTTTGAAACCGAAAATATAATGTACATTTGAGGAACCGAAGAACGTGAGTGTACCTCTGCCTCTTCAAGCGCAGACTGAATCTCAGTCTTTTCCTGCTCAAGTTGCTTCCGGACTTTCTCCAGCTCATGTATGGTTTTCCCTCCCTCACCAAGTTGCTCAGTAAGATCAGAAATTTCCTCTGTTTATGAAAGTAGTGAGGCTTAACTGGTTATTTTTGCATATGCATTGTTACATATTTTCAAGTCATATTCACCACTAGATCACCTTGCAGATTCTTGTTCTCTCTCTTCATGGTCTCCAGATGCTCTAGAGATTCTTCATAGGAGTTTTTGAGTTTGAAGAGCTCAGTGCTCAGAGACCTTGCTTCTTTCTGAGAGCTCTCCAGCTCACACTGACACTCCTCATATTTCTGCTTCCACTCAGAAAGGACCTACTCATCAAGACAATAAAATCATCAGATCACCACAATTTTCCCCCTGCAGTGCCATATCATTTGTAGAGACCATGTTTGTTCTTATAAACTGCTGAACAAGTACGAACATTGTCTCATGTATTGTCAGCTGATAATCATTGTATGCTGCTAAAGGGCTGGAACTTCATCTGCAACACTGCAAATTCATATATGACCAACATCATGAAAATGTAAAACTTCAAAAACTTTGGTTAGTTTTGTTTCCTTTTTACTTTGTCAAAGTTTCTTTGCTTCTTGTCCAGAGCAGCAGCAGCGGCATTAGACCTCTCCACATCCACCATGAGATCTTCAATCTCATTCTGCAGTCTATGTTTGGTCTTCTCCAGAGAGGAACATTTTGCATTCACTGCTTCAACAGCCTCCTCAGCGTCCTGCAGACGCTGGGCCAGCTTCTTTCTAGAAGGGAAGAACAAGTATTACCCCTTGGTGCTAAAGCATGCTCCTGTAATGGTGGCTGATAAAGCCTCAAAATGATGTCATGATACGCTGTCACTGAAATGTCATTTCAAGGCAATTTCCGATAACGATATTTATGACAATATGGACAATAATTACAAAACAACATATTATTAGTGATTGCTGCTTCTAAACAACAGCATTTTTATTATTGGTTAATTTATAAACATGAATTCAGATCTGCCATACATGAACAGGACAGGAGTTCAACCCCCCCCCCCCCATAAAAAACATTCCTCATGTTTTTTGTTTTTACAAATGTCCTCAAATGTAAATGTTTGACAACATTGACAATATTAGCCTCGTTGTCTGTCGTTACACAAACACACCTTATGTCCTCTTGTAGATTCCATCACTCAAGAAACTCCCTTAATCCCCTCACGATATTTTCTCCTATTTAATCTTTGGGAAAGTAGCTGTTTTTAAGACAGGAGTTGTGTAGATTCCAGTTGTAGCCTGTGTAATGGACCGTTAAGCTAAAATAGGGTTCGGGGGTTCGGCTCGACCACATTAGTTGAAGAGGTGATTTTTTTAAAGCCTTCCTTTCTGACAACCTGAATTGGCTTCATGTCTTTGGCCAAAAAATACATGACCGCTTTTGTAATGTCCTGCCACTGTCTGTTTTTTTTCAACGTACGGGCTAGTGCAGTGAGTGCTCCTGCGATGCTCCATTGAGCTGCTTGTCTACTTCTACTCTGAACACCAGTAGCTGCTTTCACGTCCTCATCACATGCCTTCAAAGCCTGCTGATATTCAGCAGTGTGTTGTAGCTTTAGGTGGTCAAACTTATGAGCTGTGTTAGCCAAACAACATCCATACCACAGAGATAGCTCCCTTTCTTGGCATTAGATCCTCATTTGAGGATGAGGTTGACACTGCTGTGCTGCTCTCGCCCTCTGATATTGTTGTTGTGTACGCAGTAGGGAATGTAATACGTCATTGCATCCCTACAGTGTTAATACCGGTATATGACAAATTTATATCACCAAAAACTGTACACCGGTATTACCCTACATGGTATGAAATGGCACAACTCTACCCCCATGCAGCTCAGGAAATGAACAAGATGGAGATCATTTCTTGGAATGCTATCCACAAGTCAATGCAGAGAGATCTACATTGACGTCAATGAGGCAGCTGCTGAAATAAAGTGAGCCTGTTTCAGACTGTCGGTATACAGTGAATGGGAACACAAAAGCTCAGTTACGCAAAAGCATACCACTGCTTCTCTGACAAACCACTTGCAACTGGCCTTGTCTGCCCTTTTTACCTAAGGGGTCTTTTCTGCTGGCTTTTCATGTATGCTCATGAGGGGGATGTCCTCCCTGCCTCAGGCTTCAGCATTCAATTCTGCCTGTACTACTCTGTGCCAGAGGGTTTTTTGGTGCTGTTCTCCCTGCCTTGGCATTTCATGTATGCCCATAAGAGGGGCATGTTGCAATATATAAGTTCTAGCATGTAAATGAATTATTTTCTCTGATTAAATTGGCTCTGCTTAACAGATTGTAACTACATATTGATTATGTAAAGAAATTCTTGCCACGTTAGATTTTGACAAAAACAGCTTTTGGTAGCTTTCTCCATGTTAATGCTGGTCCTGTATTGTTTTTCATGACAGTAACCCAGGGATTCCACCACATGCTGATCCGCTTCCCCCCGGACTGGCAGGTGGATCAAATACGCAAGCATACAGTGCCCACCGGATCCGAATTGCTGAAGTAAGCGGAGGAGAGGCGCTTGTGATATTACCAATATTTCTCACGATACTGGATGAGATCTCACGAGATGTCGTGTGTTTCACCATGAGGCATTGAATGAGATCAGTGGTGTATATAAACACCCACCATGACCCTGGCCTCTCCTATTATCCCTTGAAGAACAATTCAACGTATTGACTTTATTTTATTTTATTTTGAATGTTAACCAGATATTTTACTCTGTAGCCACACACAATTTCTGCTGCTGCTCATGCTGGGTTGCACTAAATTGTTGAGTTATACTGCGGCGTCCAGCAAAAATAGAAGCCTTGCGTATCTGATCCCACTGCCGGAGTTGATCCGCAGCAGAGCTGGACGGCGAATGGATTGTGTGGAATCACACACATTGATTATAATGCTTGCGTATTTGATCCGCCTGCCGTTCCAGAGTGGAGCGCAGCTGTTCCGGATCATGTGGAATTTGGCCGTAAGACAAATGACTCTGCACAACCTGCCAATCTACAGAGAGTCTGTTTGACTTGGACCTAAGTCTTTTCCTGGCCTGCAGTAAACTGTTACCCTTTTAGTAAGTGATGCAGATAACTTCTTTGATCTAGTATCATCTGCACACCTTTGGCAATTCACAGGTGAAATAATCTAACTGATTTCACTCTGACTGGCTACATGTATGCTTTACTCATAGGTAGGGGCTAAAACTGAAAGTACTTTGATGATGTAGCTGTATTTTCAAAAATTCAATTTTGAGCTTTTATGTCTATATAGCCTCTGTACATGAGGCTTCCTTGTCTACAAGCTTCCACAAACCTAGCTGTGTTATAAATGATTTGAGTATTTAAGAAGCTGAAGGAGCTCTAGTAACCTGTTCTGTATACAATTCTTGGCATACAGCCTTCTTTTCATGGCAAGGAGTTCAAAAGTGCAAAGTTCAATGAGGTCGCATTCATGGGAAACACAAGTCCTTCAAGTCTGAGATTCTTGTGTGTCTTGGACTCACTTGGCCTCCTCCAGTTCCTCTGTCCTCTGGATGGCATCAGTTTCATACTTAGTCCTCCACTGAGCCACCTCAGAGTTAGCTTTGGACATGCCACGCTGGAGTTCAGCCTTGGCCTCCTGCTCCTCCTCGTACTGCTCCCTGAGCAGGTCACAGTCATGACGGGCAGACTGCACTGCATGAGCCAATGCGTTCTTGGCCTGGATTCAAATTAATAACATGTTTGTTTTTCAAGGACTCACGACTACTCTTAAGGCAAGATAGTCGATGATTTGGATCATTTATACCTTAATTTCCTCTTCCAGTTGTCTCTTGAGATCTTCAAGTTGTTGGTTGTAAGAATTCTTTCCTCTGGTCAGCTGAGACACCAGTGACTCTTTCTCCTCCAGCTGTCTCGAATATTCATCTAGCAATTACAGTGATGCAGTCAGTCCATGCTGTATCTTTAACAACCGTGGGGATGAATGAAAAGAGAACAACACTTACCATTCTCAGCTTGAAGCTTGGCTTTTTGGGTGGTGAAATCATTGAGGGATCTTTGATATTCATCACACTTGCCCCTGTAGTCATTCATTTGATCTTCAAAGGTCCTACAGGTCTTCTCCAAGATAGTCTACACAGGTAATAAGTAATAGTTTTACTAATACTACGCTGAAAGTCAAAGCTAGTAGTGGTTATATCTCAACTACACTTATTCTCTACTTTGATCTTAGATGGCCTAGTCAAACATTTCAGTTTTCTTGCATAATCTCAGAGGAATAAACATTTTGGGTTTCAAGTATTTCGGTTCAACACTCACAAATGTCAGATTACGTTGATTTACTGAACTCAAGTCAAACTAGAAAAGCACTCAGAGAGCGCAGACCTCCGCCAAGCAGCTCATGTCCCCCCTTATATTGTGATTCACACCAAAATTTCACTTTCACACTTTCAGCATTGAAAATTCCAATTACACCCTTATTACCTCCGCCAAGAAGGTTATGTTTTTGGTAGCGTTGGTTTGTTTGTTTGTCTGTTAGCAACTTTACAGAGAAAGCATCAGACGGATTGACCTGAAATTTTCACCAGAGGTGCGTCTCAGCCCCAGTAGCTGGGCAGATAACTGTAATAGTCGTTCACTTGTGGATAAAAGCACCAAAATTGGCACACATTCTCCTTAGAAGCACACACACTAGACCTCTAACAACACTAAGATATAGGCTACCAACCATTTTACTCGAGTCTCACATGATGTAGACCTAATTAGGATCAGAATATTAGGATTCCAGGACTGAAATATGGTAAAAGGAAGCCAGTAAGTAAGTCCATGGGTCCAAATTTGGATTCTGCATAGTGGAAAATGTATGATTTGACACCAAGATCATTAAAATAGGACAAGTCTATGGGATTTTAATGCAAAATGCAGTATTACTGTATTTTCAATGGTGGCCATCTTGAAAAATGGCCGCCATCTTGAATTTTCATTTGGCCAGACGGAAATATCAAAAGAGCAACTCCTAAGGAGTGTGTGTGCCAATTTTGGTGCTTTTATCCGCAAGTGAACGATTCTCATGTAATATGCTATTATCCGCCCCGCTACAGGAGGATCCCATTAAATTTTGGTGGTGATCCGGACAAAATTCTCGATACTGTGATCCAGAACGCACAAAAATAAGGGTGTCATTGGAATTTTCAATGCTGAAAGACAAGCAATGGGCAGCACAGTGGTGTAGATAGGCGGTACAGTGATGTAGTTGTTAGCACTGTTGCCTCACAACCAGAAGGTTGTTGGTTCGAATCCTGGTCAGGGCATTCCTTGTTTTAGGAACATTATGAACAGTGAACATACCAGTTTAAAACACAAATAAAAGTTAATAAAAGACATGTAACAGTAAAAGTTTTGGTGTGAATCACAATATAAGGGGGGACATGAGATGCTTGGCGTAGGTCTGCGCTCTCCGAGTGCTTTTCTAGTTTTTGTGTGTTCTGGATCACAGTATCGAGAATTTTGTCCGGATCACCACCAAAATTTAATGGGATTCTCCTGGGGCAGAGACGCACCTCTGGTGAAAATTTCAGGTCAATCTGTCTGTAACTTTCTCCGTAAAGTTGCTAACAGACAAACAAACTCACAAACAAACAAACAAACAAACAAACCTACGCTACCGAAAACATAACCTCCTTGGCGGAGGTAATTATTTGTTGTCAAAACTGTCAGTAAAACTCAGACTAAGCATTTTTATGTGCATATACCTTAGCCTTCACAATCTGCTCCATGTTGGAGACCACATCATCCAGCTCCAGTCTGAGCTCACTCTTCTCCTTCTCCAGTTTCTGCTTGACTCTCTGCAGGTTGTCAATCTGCTCTCCCAGGTCAGCAACACTGTCAGCCTGTTTCTTCCTGAGTGTGGCAGTGGTGGCTTCATGCTGCAGAGTGGCCTCTTCAAGGTCTCTGCGGAGCTTCAGGAACTCTGCCTCTCTCTTCTTGTTCATCTCGATCTGGGCAGCTGTTGCTCCTCCAGCCTCCTCCAGTCTCTCACTGATCTCCTCCAGCTCTCTGGCCAAGTCTGCTCTCTGTTTCTCCACCTTAGCTCGGGCAGCTCGCTCTGCCTCCAGCTCTTCCTCAAGCTCCTCGACACGGGCCTAGTGTTAGAGCAGCATCTTAAAATGCAGTTACACTTCTTATGTATTAACAATCTTGCAGTAACACTATTAGTGTAGTAAGTCTTGATGCATTTTTAATGCAATAACACAAGAGGTGCAATTTCAACAAAAGTACAGTTACACTCATAATCCAACAAAATTTTTTAAGCAGTTACACAACTTATGGAGTAACACTCTTAACCCTCGGTTCCAACCATGTCCGTTTTGCAGACATTTGTCATTTTTATCATCTTTATTTTGAGCTGACAGTCACATTTTGGGAGTTCATATTTTTCCTCAAATTAAAAAAAAAAAAATGTGACAAGGAGTAGTTCAGTGTCCATTGCCGCATTTTCTCTCCATCTCCCCAACTTTGTCTGTTTTGCAGGAGTGGGCTACGTGTGTAAAAAGTTTGTGTGCTGCTGCGTTAATGCACGGGTGCAAATCTGCGTCCTGAAGTTTATTAAGAGATATCAGTCAAAACAAAAAGAAAAAAAGGAAAAAAAATGATTACTTTATTAACACTTATCTGCATGTCCGTTTTGGGGACAAGATAGATAGATAGATAGATAGATAGATAGATAGATAGATAGATAGATAGATAGATAGATAGATAGATAGATAGATAGATAGATAGATAGATAGATAGATAGATTATATTGATCCCAAACTGGGAAATTCTCAATTCTTTCTATCTATCTATAAGATAAGAACAACTTTAATAATCCCCAAAGGGAAATTCAATTGTCTGTTGTCTCACATAATATGTCTCTAAAAGTTATCTATTATTTACACAAGAACACTCTCAGTGCACTAAATTTCAGAGCAGTTACACTCTTATTGCAATAACATTGTCAGTTCTGAAATAATGTACATTTTTACCTGCAGCTCTTTCAGCTTCTTTTGAAGTTGAATGATTATGGCCTGCTCATCTTCAATTCTTCCATTCAGCTGGCTGATCTCAAAGTCTTTCCTGCAGTGATTTGATGAGATCAGCATTAGCTTATTGAAGTGAAACACCTCATGAAATGACCATAATGATTATACAAAGTTTACATACTTTTTGAGGCGCTCCTCAAGCTGTTGCTTGTCATTTTCCAAATCCATGACTGTCTCCTGGCTCAACTTTAAGTCTCCCTCCAGCTTTCTCTTTGCTCTCTCAAGGTCCATTCGAACTTTCTTCTCTTGCTCAAGAGAACCTTCAAGCTTTTATCAACAGAAAGTATAACTGTTTTTAATTTTTCAACTATTTATTATTAAAAGGGGTTGTGTAACTCTGATATGAATTCCTACATCGTCCACTTGCTGCTCCAGCTTAGCCTTGGCCTTGGTCAGAGTGTTGACTTTGTCTTCTTCACTCTGCAGGTCATCCAGTGTTTGCTGATGAGCTTCCTGTAAAGCTTTTTTTTCTTTGGTCAGCTTGGCAATGATCTCATCCTGAGCAGCCATCTCCTCGACCAGATTTTTAACCTGTTCGCAAAAGAAGAGATGGATTGCTAAATGCCTCTTTTTGCTCCTGAACGGAGTCAAAGCATTTAATGAAGGTTGACGGTACCTTGTTCTCGGTGGCGTGCTTCTCTTTCTCAACTTTTGCCAGAGTTAACTCTAAGTCATCAATATCCTTCTTTAACTCTGAACACTCATCCTCCAGCTTTCTCTTCTTAGCTGTCAGATCAGCATTCATCTCCTCCTCATCCTCCAGTCTCTCAGTAAGCTCTTTTGCTTTAGCCTCTAGCTGAATCTTGTTTTTGATCAGCCCCTCACACCTTTCCTCTGCATCACAGAGATTATCTTGCTCCTGCAAAACATTCAGTCACATTAGCACATGCTGAAATGAGGAGTTAAAGAAAAATGCCATAGAAGTGTTTTTCTAACCGCTTGGACTTGGAGCTGCAGGTCATTTTTCTCTTGGAGAAGGGTGACCATTTTCTCCTCAAGCTCTTTTCTTCGGGCTTCAGATTTTGCATAAGCCTCCTTCAGCTTCAAGAATTCCTCCTTCATGTTGGCCATCTCTTTCTCTGCCTCAGCTGATCTCAGCAGAGGTTTGATCTTGAAGAACAGCTTCATCCAGGGCCAATTTTTGACCCCCATGAATGAGCGGACGTTCCACTGGATCACCAATAGTGCGTCTCTAGAATGATTTTAGGTCAAATAAAGGATTTAGTTGAATATTTAAACCACTAAACAGTTATTCCTTTATCATAACGGACTCTAACACCAAGCATACCTGCGCTCAACCATCTTCTGATACTCAATGCGAGATAGAAGACCACGGGCTCTTGCTTGAATAGCAGTGATGATTTTGGAGAGGCGCTCATCCCTCATCTCCTCAAGCAGACCCAGCAGCCCAGCCTTGAAGAACACCTAAAATAAAGACCAGACCAGAACAGAACTCACATACCAGGTTTTTACCTCATGATTATTGTGGCCATAAAATATTACAATAACATTTTTATCATCGAATTTTTTGAAAAACTTTAAATAAAACGACACAGTCAAAGTAAGAAAAGGCAAGTCAAGGATGGATTAATATATGACTTCTAAAACTCAGTCAATGAACTCGTCACTTTTATGTCATTATCTGTTTCTCATGATGTTCACATTTATGATGTATCCACAACACCAACTTTGTGACTGAACATTCAAAGGGTAAGATCTTATAAGTTGTTTTTCATGCTTTTATTTTGATAAATTTTTATGTTTTTATTTCTTTCATTGTAAAACTTTTTTTTTTTTTAAGTATTTCTAATAGGTTGTAAGTGACGGGACTCAAAGAGAACTGTGAAAAGAACAGTAGGAAAGTAATCATCTTAAATGGATTAGTAATTCAAAGAAGCACATCTAATCATTTCTCAGAGGGCTATTATAGTTGGCTCCTCAATACAAAACTGGGAGGGGCATCAACATGCTTGAAACCACTTAATGTTTTCTCATTTAAATCTCAAAAATAGTTTTCCTTTTAAAAAAGCAGCTCCTGCTTTTTAAAAAAAATTATGATAGCCCATATACCTATGTTTTTTTTCTTTTTTTCCTTTACTGTCCCAAATTACTCACAAGGAAGAATTTGACAAATTTCTGATGATACCTTGGTGTGTCCAAATTTATATTGGTTGTGATCAATATCCAGAGACCCAAGCAGTTTCTCAGCTCCCTTCCTGCTGTCGATGAACTGACCCTCAGGGATGGCAGCAGGATTCAGGATGCGATACCTGAAGAAGAAAATACAATAAAAGTATCAAGTAGATCTTACTCTTAGAATTTCATTGTGCCCAACTTAAATGTAGGTATACCTCTGTTTGAAATCTCCATAGAGGATCCTGTTTGGGAATCCCTTCCTGCAGATCCTGATGCCTTCCAGCACACCATTACAGCGCAGCTGGTGCATCACCAGAGGGTTCTCCATGGCCCCAGGAGTCTTGGTCTCATTGGGGATGATGCAGCGCACAAAGTGAGGGTGAGTAGACCTCAAGTTGGTCATCAACTTGTTCAGGTTCTCCTGTACAATGGGGAAGCAACCATCTGTACAGTATTTGATAACTGTGTATTTGTTGTTTTTGAATAATATTTCGGGATGAGAACGATAATAAATCATTTACAGTACCCTATGAAGAGCCGACACAGTCTGAAAGGATGAGCCCTTCTTTTTCTTCTCTTTCTTGCCCTCAGTCCCCTCAGCCACTGATCAGAAAAAATGGCTGAGCTAAAAAAAGTTTTCACAAAACCATTTACAAAACTATAGAAATTTTTTTTACACAGAGGTACCTGAATCAGCTCCTGCGTAATTTGCAAAGAGGATGGAAAGCAGCTTAAGATTAGACTTCTGGTAGAGTCCTACAACAGTCTCGTTCAGAGGATCCTTGTTCTTTACCAGCCAGTTGTTGATATTATAATCCACAGTTCCAGCGTAGTGGACCAGGGCAAAATGAGCCTCTGGTTTGCCTTTGACAATTCTGGGCTTCTGGAAATTGGCAGATTTTCCCAGATGGTTGTCATAGAGCTTGGCTTTAAAGGTGGTATCAGAGGCTTTTGGGAACATGCACTCCTCCTCAAGGATGGACATAATACCCATGGGCTAGGATAGGAGGAAGAAATGCAGATATTATAATTATTCCAGTTTTTGTTCATTTAAATTCAAGAATTCCAAGTAGCCTTGGTCCTCACCTTTTCAATCAGGTCAATGCAGGCCTGTAAGTCCATACCAAAATCAATGAAGGTCCACTCTATGCCCTCTTTCTTGTACTCCTCCTGCTCCAGCACAAACATGTGGTGGTTGAAAAACTGTTGCAGTTTTTCGTTGGTGAAGTTGATGCACAGCTGCTCAAAGGTGTTGAACTGTAACATCAAGTAAAAAAGCACAATGATGTCTTTAATACATGCATTAACATGAAAAGTGTGGCTTGATTGAATGAAAATGCCTGTACAGTGTAGAGTCAATGACAAATTCATGAAAAATGCTCACATCAAAGATCTCAAATCCAGCGATGTCCAGTACACCGATGAAGTACTGGCGAGGCTGTTTGGTTTCCAGAGACTGGTTGATTCTCATGACCATCCAAAGAAACATCCTCTCATAAACAGCCTTGGACAGAGCTCCAACAGCGTAGGTCACCTGTTGAACGGTAGGTCGTATAAAACTGTTTTCTACTATTCATATGACCTTTCCCAGGGTTCAAACTGATCCTTTAAAAGTATTACTGAAGATTTATGAGGTTTAGGGCTCTAAAATGTCTCAAGAAGGGTGTTTTTCACGTCTGAGGGGTCTTAAAATCAACATCGTACATTGGCTGATACATGTTTTGATAGAATACTGAATCAAATCTTGACTCCTGAGTTAATGTTACATTATTTTGTTTAAAACAACAGTCAGTGTACCGAGCCTTTATTTTGAAAGCAATCATCAGTCTTTTTTTTCTGCATCATGTCTGTAATTGTTATGGTTTTAGATGGCTTTATTTTCTGTGGCCATAGCAAAACATGGGAGAATAATAATCTGTATAGAGTGTTTGTCAGGAGTCAAGTTTGATTCTCTATAGCCAGAGCTATTAACCATCAAAGCTCACCACACTAAAACACTTGATGACAGGGAAACACAAGCCGATACAGCAGATGACAAACAGGAACAACAGCTCCACAGAGCAAGCATGGTTAACCAGTTTATTACAAACTGCTAAACCACACCTTTTTGATATGTTCTTACAGCTAAACAAGCTAAACAAGCTAGTACTAGCTTACTTTGTGTTTCCCGAAGGTATGTTGGTAGGTTGACCATATTCTGAATCCCCAAAAAGAGGACACTACTATGCAGGGCGGAGTTGTGCAAGTGCGTGCTAGACTTTGAGGGTTTGTCGGTTGGGTCGAGTGTTTTTTACGAGCTTCTGACTCAGTTAATCATGTATTCTTAATTACTAAAAAGATACTTAACCAGGCCTCTTCGAGATTCTGATAAAATACTCACACAAAGTTGCGTTTACAAACAATATGTTCATTCATCTAAAAACATTTCTCCTCAACAAAATTATCGGTCACATACAAATATTTCTCCCTTGTCTTTCGCTCAACGGCAGACAGTGCATGTGTGCGTTGCGTCAGTGGCCTTCTGTAGAACTGAGCGGAGGGGCAGAGCAGCAGAGAGCACTGATGTGCTAATAGACTCTATAAAGAGTGGATGCCATCTGCCTCCTCGCTGGGAAAAGCCACCGTAAGAACAGCACCTTCTGGTGATGGGCTGCAGTATAGGTCATAAATCTCCCTATGGAGTTGTGGACAAAATAAATTCCCCCCCTCCGCTTGCAATGTTGACACGTAGTTACTATAAGACTGGTTTGAGTCATCACAGCAACTCTTGGCAACTCTTTCACCAAATGCATACAATGCTACTGCACAAGTGGTGGTTCCAGGAAGTGGAGAAAATCCCAGAAATACCAAGAGCAATTCAGCTCTAAATTCGAACTCTGCCTTTCTGAGTGTGTTTCAAAATAAACCATTGAATGTGTCTGGTAAACACAATGGTCTGTGATGCGAAGATAAAGTACACGCTACACAAACTCGAAACAATGGAAGCCCATTTTACTGGTGGAAATGGGCTTCTTTTTATCTCACCTGAGCTACATTTTGTCCCTTAGTGACCCATTCATTTCCAACTTTGACTCTGGGGTGACAGAGACCTTTGATGAGGTCAGCAGAGTTCAGACCCATCAGGTACGCTGCTTTGTCAGCATCTGAAAGAAGAAAATGATTGCTTTAACATACTTGTACCATTCTCTTTCTTTGTGGGTCCTACCTAACAAACAGAACTGCTCTCACCTTCAGTGCCGTCTGCCTCTGCCTGCTCCTCTCGCTGCTTCTGCTTGAACTTCATGTTGCCGTAGTGCATGATGGCTCCAATCAGCTTGTACACAGAGTTCTTTTCCTCTTGAGTAAAGCCCAGCACATCGAAGGCATTCTGTCGCGGAGCACATGATAACTTCTTAGTCATGCAGATTTGAAAGCTGGGAGAGCAGCTTATCATTAACAGAGAGATTGCCTTTAATGAGCCCTCTAAACATCTGTAAAGTTTGGGGAAACTGGTCCATAAATAGCACTGATGGCTGCAAGGGGATAAGTAAATCACAAAAAGGTATGCAAATGTCTTCTTACATCTATTAATGTGGGTCCCCTTATACTTCAGGTTTGGTGTAAGGGGACCCATTTCATATGTAGATATAAGAAGGCTTATTCTGAGTTAAAGAAAAACAAATTATTTCCTTATTCGGGTTATTACACAATGATTTAAACATACTTAAGGGGATTATTTTCCATTTCTACCATGTCTGTTCTTCCAAACTCTAGTATTTTCTACACGCTGTACCTTTAAAAACACATCAGTGTTTTGAGGACTGATACTGGTCAGAGTGTAAAGAGACCTAAAACAGTACCAAAACTGACCAGTTTAGTAGGATATTGTGAAAAGAAGAAAAAAAAAGAATAAATGAGAGCCTGACATCTGTTGCCATGAGTTCCTCTGCATCATCAATGGAGGCCACTTGGGTTTCCCCCTGAGAGATGAAGGCATAGTCGTAGGGATTGTTTGTGATCAACAGCATCTCTAAAAGACACAGAGACTTTGTGAGACAAATTCAGATAGCTGGACATGATTCCTGTGAATATTCAATGACAGACATCCTTCCTTCTCTCTCTTTTTTTGGGGTTTGTCTTTTGGCATCCCCTATACACAAAACAAACCACACACTAACCCAGGATTTCAGGCTTCTTGTTGGACAGAATCTGGTAGAAAATGTGGTAATCTCTCTCAGCCTTTAGCTGAAAGGTCACACGAGACTTCTCCAGAAGGTCTGAAATGTGACAAAAACAGCTCTGTAAAACTGACAAAGATTTCCACTGTTACTGTTGACAACATATATTAGATTAACGTAATTCAAGAGCCAAAGAATATTTTTTCTTACATGTTTCAATATCAGCTGAGGCAAGCTTTCCTCTGGCATCAAAATGGATACGAATAAATTTACCCTGTAGGGGTAGATTTAAGGTTATATTTGTGAAGAAACATGAAAGTTATTTCTGTGAACCACAGTTAAATCCTCCTGTATTGCACACTCACAAATCTGGAGGAGTTGTCATTCCTGATGGTCTTGGCATTGCCAAAAGCCTCCAGAGCGGGGTTAGCCTGGATGATTTGATCCTCCAGGGTACCCTGTGAAGAGGAAGGTAGGGGATGTTCAGTAGCGCACCCTCCCTCTCTTCCCCACAGGTTGTGGACACGTCCCCTCCCCTCTAACAGCTCTCACTTTCGCTTCATCATAAGCAGCTTCAATTGATGTGAAAAAAAGTTTGGGAGCACAAGTGAAATCTTGGCTTTAATTAAGTGGATATTAACCCCAAAATGAAGCCAATGCTCTAAAAGTGAAGAGAAGAATTTATGCACAGTCCATTTAAACACACAGAAGTGCTTCAGTAAACAACAACAAAAAAAAGGTCAACAGTTTTTTTCACTTCTTGTGTTTAAAAGAAGTTTTTTAGTTTAAAAAAGGTTTTAAGTTGCTAAGTAGTATGTGATTGAGGTGACAAATCATAGGTAACCATTTTTGAATAATCGTGATATCAAAAGTAATAGAAATGATCATGATTTTGTCATAATCGAGCAGCCTTATCTTGAAGAGCAGCCTATCTCAAGCTTGGTGATGTCTCAATCTGCAATCTGTTTGTTTGTTTGTTTGTTTGTTTGTTTGTTTGTTTGTTTGCAATCATCTTATTGTTTCTCTGTCTGTCATCTGAAGTTTTGTCTGGTTTAAGAGTCCCAAAAACTCATTTAACAGATTACCTTGTCTTTGGCACTGGGGTCTTTCTTAATTCCTCCAGCAGCAATACTTGCGAAATACTGGATTACTCTCTTTGTGTTAACAGTCTTTCCAGCACCAGATTCTCCGCTGAAATTACAGTCAGTGATCAATACTAACTTAAGCATCATGAAGAACTAGCTGGTTTTCTCAGAGGATCAAGTGGTAGATGTTTCTTACGTGATCAGGATGGACTGGTTTTCACGGTCTAGAAAAAAAATAAAATAAAAATAGAGAGAGTTTGATTTTGTTATTTCAAACTATCAACATGATCTCCCTATAAAAGTTACCTCAAAGGGGGGGACTTTGAACACTGACTTTTAATCTTGTCTTACCTGCCAGCATGTACTGATAGGCATTATCAGAGATGGAGAAGATGTGAGGAGGAGCTTCACTCCTCTTCTTTCCTCTGTAAGCAATCACCACCTCTTGGTTGTAGACTGGGAGCCACTTGTAGGGGTTGACAGTCACACAGAAGAGCCCAGAGTAGGTCTGAGATTCACAAAGGAAAATTTACAAGGAGCTGTGTCCATCAAGGTTCTTATTTTCTTTTTAAACACATTTCAAAGTTTTCAGCATCCTGAGCGCCAAACTCAACTTAGCTTTAGTCATATAAAAGATTTCATACATGCAGCCCAAAGTGCTTCACAAAAGAACAAACTGATGTAAAATAACAACAGAAGGTTAAATAAAATACTAAAACAATAAAAAAAAAAGAACCATTTAAAAAAAAATTACATAAAATAAAATGGAATGAATACTTCGGGGGGGGTGCATTTTTTTCAGACTCTATTTCCTTTCTGATACGTCTTTTATATCTTCACATAATTTTGGGATAAAAAAAAACTGTTTCGCACTCACTACACTTTCGGTGTATTAAAATATCTTTTTTTCAGCCTCCGTCTAAAACACCTCGTTTTTTGTCGCTCAAACTCCTCCTTAACTAATGACTTTTTTCCTGATACATAACAACTTTATTCTCACAATCTCAATATTTTTCCCTAATGTGGCCCTGATATTTGATTGTAGAATTTAATAGATGATCTTTAAAAAGAAATATGGGAACATGTTTGATCAGAAAAGTCTGTGGTAATAACTTTGAATAAAATATCTGTTTAAGAGTACAGAGATACTTTTGCTGTATAATATCTAAATAGATCCGACTTAGATTATTTTTCCAGATCAATAATTATGAGTCTATAGAGCTTTTTGATCCAGACTTTGGATGGTGAGCAGTTCAGGTTACAACAAATCTCAAATCAAAGGCTACTTACGTAGATCATCCATGCTGCGTAACGCTCCTTGAGGTTAAACAGCACAGCTGGTTCATGGAGGAAGGTCAACATGGCCATGTCCTCAATCTTGTCGAATTTTGGAGGATTCTGTTGCAGAATCTGTGAGTCCTTGACTGTCGCAGTCTAGAAAAAAACAGACTTTCTCAATAAATAAAATATGTATCATCACATCAATTCAGACATCTCTTTTGGCTTGTACTTCCACGAGATTCACCTCAGTATTTCTTTCAAACCATTTGAGAACATGCCTCTTGTTGCCAGATGGTAACAGTCATTTGTTTCGTCCCTCTGTTCCTCAGTGTTTTGACAGGAGACATTTCAACTACAGTAGTTCTTGCACCCCCATTAAAACTTGTATTTACACTCACTTAAGGATGGCTGCTTTAGATTTCACGTAGATTAACACTCAGATAAACACTCTGATAGGACTCCACACCCACACTCACATATAGCCTTTTACTCATGTAACACAACTCAACAGACTAACCAGGTGGAGTTTAAAATTCTCAGACAGATAGTTGGCAAAACCAGAAAATGATGAGGATCTAGCATTAAAGCTAGCATGTACCTACTTGGTAGGTAAAGGCACAATGTTTTGGCCCTGAATTAATGATGAATACTGGCCTCTGGGCCCCAAAATAAACGTTATGTATCTACACTTTAAAAAATCCATCCAAAACCTGCATCCAGATGAACCTCACAGTAGTTTTTGCAGTACTTTTTTGACATTTTAAGCTCATGTTGATGAGCATTGTGTGAGGCTTAGAAAATACAAACCAAGTTTATGAATGTTGACATGTATTTACTCACCTTCCCTCTCTGTGTCTCCACGGTGACCTTGTCTCCATCTCTGCTGGTGATGGTTGCCTTCACAAACTCTTCCACTGGATCTGGGACGAAGCATTCCTTCTTTATGTCAAAGAGACGTGTGGAGGCTTCCATACGCTCCTTGTCCGACTTCCTCAGGTATGGGGCAGCTGCCCCAAACACAGACATCTCTGCATCCCCCATGGCTGCACTAATTTACATTTGTTTATTAGTGATTGATCATGACTCTCAATTTTCACCATGAAATGTAATGTTTTACAATACTTTCCATAGTTGGTTCCCACAATATAAGTATGACCCTATCTGTTAGAATCACACTTTGACTTTTTAAAAACATCAGTTTATAAGCCATATCTCAAGAATATTTAATTCAAAAGAAATTACCCGTAGGATCAAGTCAGATGTCAGGTGAGCTCAGACTTCAGAGTGTTGTTCAGTGATGCACCTGAAGTGGGCAGAGAAAACCATCAATTAGATATCAATGTTGATTTAAAATGTTTTAAATCAGAAGATCTTACTCACAGGGGCATTTCCTGTTTTTCATATTAGTAGTATTAGCTCCATCATATTTTAAAAGTGTGCTCTTCGAGCAATCCTTTGTATTCAAATAAAGTTATGAAAACATCAAATCAAGTGGGAGAAATGTTGTGTTAGGAAATGTAGTGCAGACTTACAGAGGCCAGGTGAAGAGGGAGCAGCCACTAGACCTGCAGGGAGAGCAGGGATCAAATATATAACCCCTGGTAACCCTACCTTACAAGGCCAAGGACACCACCCTGACCTGCTGACACATATGCACACATAGCTACACACTCACTCACACATATACACAAAGACAACAACAGGTACACTTTTTGAACATGTCATTTAACCACACACACACACACACACACACACACACACACACACAAATGTGGTAATCGCCTTCACTTTCATCACTTGTGACAGGGCTCTCTATGGTATCATGATGTCTGGCTGCCCTCTATGCTCACCACCAAATAATGTGACTTTTCGGGAGCAGTGCCAGCATAGCTTGCCTCTGACTCACCCCAGCACAGCCTCTCTATCTCGAATTATTCCACACTTTTGCCTGTCATCTCTTCTGCTTAATTCTTTTTCCATGTGAGGGTTTGTTGTGGACAGAAACCAGGTGCTATTTATTGCCTGTGAGGAGAGACAAAGAGCGGCTGAGTGGAACAATGGTCAGAATGGTCAAAAATAAATTGATGTGTCAATAAATAAAGTGCTCATGTCATTTTTGAGTCATCCTTCTGGAGTAAAAAGATGAAATAAAATAGTTTCAACAGGGGCATAAGTCTCTACCCAGTCACCATGTCCTCACTTATCACTGCCCAGAGACTGCACCTCCAAAGCTGCACAGATGATGTCTTTGCTATCTCAATGACCAATCTTAAAGTAGATAAGCATGATTGAACTCAACAGATCTTCCAAAGATGTGGAGGATAACAACTTGACCAAAAACAGCCCTGCCAACCTCTTGAAGATCATTGCTGATACATCTTGTGCGCCAGAAGTAAACTGAAGGTCTCTTTTCTGTACCTGTCATATAGTCAACATTACAGAGGTTCCTGACTCTTTTTTATTTATTTATTTTTTTTATTTATTTATTTATTTATTTATTTTATTTTATTTTATTTTATTTTATTTTTTTTTGGGGGGGGGGGGGGCTGATGAAAGGTACTAAACTACTACTAAATTGCAGCTCCTTCAGTGTACAATTTGCTGCAAAAATAAACATGTTTCCAGCCTGGTTTAAAATCTCCATTTGAGCTTGAATAGCCCATGTTAGCTAGTAATGGTGGATTGTTAACTAGGTAGCAGCTCATTTGATACAGGAAGGCCAAACTTGCGCAAAGAGGCTGAACTCTGTGCTCCTTAAACATTGACATCTGCATGCCCACTCAGCATAAATGCTTTAGACTGTTGCCTGCCCTGTTAAGACTTAAGCTCAGTCGAACTTCATAGCATAGCTTTTAAACCAGGGAGGCGCTCATCTTTAAAGCCCTGAAAATGTTAAGGTCCTATCATTGGTTAAAGATTTTTTTATAGAATTGTATCATCCTCATCCTCAGTCAAGTTTCCAAATGAACAGAAACACTGACAAACTGAAACCAACTGAAACTGCAGGCAAAACTGAATAAAACTGAAGCTGCAAGCAGCACTGAACACCTCCTTGTACCCTTATGCATGTTGGGGTGTGATGCATGTAAGGGTTGCAAATGTTGGGGTGTGGAGCATCCACTGAGCCTGCTGCTGCTGATGACTCATCAGAGGGAGAACAGCCGAAATGCCTCTACGCTTTATTAGGATTTAGAAGAGAGAAGGACGTCAGGGGATTCGCATGAGGATACATGAGAACAGCCGAATAACTTCCAGGAAACATGTTTTCCTTATGATCACTCATTTCTTCTGTTCAATTTTCACCCTGAAAAGAGCTGAGAGAGAAGGTTTCTGTCAGCAAACAAAGACATCGTCAGTGTACAGTCAACTTCTATGGCCACTTTTCTCACCACTTGGTTAGAACAGTGTTACAAATCATTATGTCCTCTTGAACTTTAAGCCCAATAAATAAACTGCCAACATCACGCTACATCATAGAAATAGGTTATCTGCACTGATGAAACACAGTGGTTATTTGCATTTACAAACAGGTATCATTTTGTGAACTTTAAGATGTTTAAATAGCAAATAATTATGAAAATAAAAAAGCATTTTTCTTGGTTAAAATGTTCCATAATAGTTTTAACTTTGATACAAAATAAACAGAATGAAGGTTGGTCTTCATGAGCAGGTGTTTGTTAAACAGGTAACATACAGGAAAAACTAAAAAAAAAAAAAAAAAAGGTGAGTATTTGTGAATTTCTAAAACAGAGCAACGTCGCACAATAATTCACACTTGTCATAATGATGTTCAAGATGTCTTTAACTTTCCTTCTGCCCAGGCAAAACTAAATTACAGATATCTGTAATTGTCACTGAAGATGTGTGGCCAGTTAAACGTTGTTTTTAGTGATGTCATTGCAGATATCTGATATGCAGATATCTTGAATGAAAATTCCAACTATCCAAATAGTAATTACGACCATTCTGTCAAACCTAGCTATCAAATGTTAAAACTGACACTCTCCAGGAGGAGGGGCCTGTCCTTCGTTGGACTTTGGTGTGAGACCACACACCAAAAAAATAGTCCTTATTGTTGCATATACTGTAAGTGAATTTTGTTTTTAAGTCCAAGAGGCCTGATGGGCTACAAAGAAAAATGAGGGCCCCAGAAAGGACCTGTGATTTTTTAAAGAACTGAGTTATGAACTCACAAAAATAAACTCTTAATCTTCTGAGAAAAAAATTGTAACTGTATGAGACAGAGGTAGTAATCACAGGCTGTTTATAATACAACAAAAAGAGTGACATCAGAGTGGCACCCAGCTGTCTGCTCTAAAATGAGGAGCATGGATCATCTATGACTAGACAGCTGAAGACAAACAGCTGTTACAGCAGCATGCTCGGCCTGCCACTCTGCAAGATAAAATACAACACCATAAAGAATTTTTGATAAATTCAAGGGGGGAAGTTTATACAAATTAGCGGAGTCCCTAAGCCCAAAAAATAAGCTGTTAACTTAAAGTTATGATACAAATATCCCCTTTGGTATGGAAGTACCTTAGGGTCATAGGAAACATTTTATCCAAAGAGACAAGTTTGATCACACTTCAAATTTTTTTTATAGACATTTTTAAAAATGACCACCGACAATAAACTACTATTACACCAGACCCCATATCTTCGTTTCTGTGAGAGATATAATATTAATATTAGTGTCAAAGTGTACATTTCTGGGGTCAAGGAATCCATATGAAAAGGTCTCCAGACTAAAAAATATATAGTCTTCTCATTATCCTCACAATGGGGGTAAAATATGCACATTTAATGAACAAAATAAGTGTCAAAAAGGTGACTTTAAAAATGCCCCCCTAAAAAAGAAAGAAATTAAAAAAACACAAGAAAAATGGTACAGCCTCTTATGTACTCTATGGGCTCTATTTTTAGAGCCTTGCCGGAGACGTGCCGCAGGCGTGGCGTAGGTCAGGTCCCTCATGCCGACAAGGCGTACCCAAGCACAATTTGGTATTTTGGTGAGCGGCGCAGCCCAGCGTAAGTATCCCCCCTCCCTTACTCAGCTCCTCCTAGCGGCATAAGTCGTAGCGAGGGAGGAGAGAGGGCGTGGAGTGGGTTTAACACAGCTGAGACCTGTTTTCACCAATCACATAAGCTCCTCTCCTTGCCTTTAAATCCACCACAGGCGAGGCATATTACTATTTTCTTGAAGTAGTCAAAAAGATCAAGAGATGTGTGAAGACAGTAATGCCACACGATGGCGACAGAAGGCAGCTTCTCAACAAGTGTCACTGTAAGCGCTGCATTGGGCGTCCTCCACACTCTCTCAGATGAGCGCAGATGGATTTGGGCTGTGTAATGTTGGAGCCACTGGTAAGACAAACACCCTTTTCCACAAATAAAGACACTCACATAAAGTTGCATATATTCAAACCTCACGTGACAACGGTGGGTTGAGCGCACAGATCACAACATAAACTCCAAAAATGGCATTAAAATCGGAACCATCTGTGCGTAAATGACGCATCACACTCCGTGGCATGGCTCTTTCTTTCATAGATGTTGGCAGATAAAATAAATTTGGCTCACAAAACTGAATGTTATAATATTCGTATGTAGGCTTGAAGTTAATAACTCATCTGGGCACTGAAACAAATCATCTGTTCAGCAGCTGCAGCAGGATGGAGAGAGGACACAGAGACATGTCCAGGTCCAGCTGCGCGAGAAATAAGAGGAAGCGGAAGAAAGAAAAGGAGGGAGACGAATTAAATATCTTGTTAACATCATCATGTGTGTTTATTTACTAGATATTTAATTTAATTAAATGTGGTTTCAGCTGTGTTGATTCGGTCAGGTTGTGTGTCCAAACTAAGGGTGTGGAAAATAATCTAAATTAATCGATGCGCATGTGCGCGATGCGACTGCGTCGGCTCATTCACTGGGTATCGATGCAATTGACAGGTTAAATCTAGATTCATCTAGATGCGTTGGTGGGTATCGGTAAAATCCGATGCAAGCGCCGTTTTATTCATGTTAAACTTCACCCCATCTGCTGTTCCCCAGGCGCATTGAATGCACCATCATTATTTCGAGTTTTGTATTGAATATGGACGGAAGCCGTGAGGGACATACAATGCACTACTAGTAAAACAGCATGGACCACATTCAAGTGAGCAGCAGCGAGGAAGAGTTTATATGTAATGCACCCGCTACGTTTAAATCACATGTTTGGAAACACTACGCATTTGCAAAGAAAGACGGAAAGCTCGACAAAACGTCCGTCATTTGCAAAGAATGCTGCGTTAAGAAGCCGAACAACGGCAGCACGACAAACGTGCAGACCCACTTAAAAAGAGTACACCACATCACCGACAAGTCTAACGCCACCTCCCCTCCCTAAACATTGATTGCACTGTTGAAAGTGTCACTTTAGGTTACTCATTGAGCGTGTTCTGTGGTTGCTGTTTACTGTACTTTTTACAGCAGTAATTATTGTGTAATTGTTTTACTCTTTTATTATTGCAGAACTCACACAAATCACTGATTTTCAGTGGCCAGTTAGAAAGTCAACTCTAGCACATCGGTTTGGCAGACAGTAGTATGGCCATTGAATGGTTTATTTGCACCATGTTAGGCAGTGCATTAGTTGTTTAATAATGTGTACTGTAATATTACCCAACAAGTATAGAGCACTTGTGTGATGTAGGGTTGGGATTGGAATCCTTTTTTTAATTTTTTTTTTTAATTTTATTGATTCAGATTCCTTAACAGTTGCAGGAGGTCTGTCTAATCTGTGTAACTGTACAAAATGGAACCCAAAGGAGCATAGAAAAAAGACAAAAAGCACTTTTGTTGAATTTACTGCCAAGTGCCTTTAAGGAATAAAGCCAAATCATTTTTGTAGTACCATACTGAATTCCATCTTTTATTTTTATTTCTTTTTTTTCTTTGCTTATTTGCATCATGTTGAATTGCATCATATCGCAACAAATTGCATCATATCGTATCGGATCGCATTGATTTGAACTAAATGATTATCGTATCGTATCGCGAAGAGGGTGAATCGTATCGCATCGTATCGCCAGAAAATTCCACGTATCATTAAAGTATCGTATCGCATCATGAAGAGGGTGAATCGTATCGCATCGTATCGCCAGAAAATTCCATGTATCGTTAAAGTATTGTATCGCTGGCAGTGCATCGAGATGCGTATCGAATCGTCCTCAGTGTTGAGATTCACACCCCTAGTCCAAACACGTGCCAAATGCGCTCATCAGATCAGATATAGATCAGAATATATCTATATAGATCTAAATGTATGTGCTGACTCAGATTAATAGTTGTTGATAATTATTTATTGCACTGAAATTTGCCTGACACGGTGGAAACCTGCCTGTGAGGCATCGGTGACATATGCCGATACGCCGCCGGTCTACCAAAATACCACTAGACCAGCTGCGTTTCGCTTGCGCTGAAAGCTGACCAGGTTTGAATCGGCGAGCTTTCACCGCACTTTACATGCCGGTGGCAAGCATGAAAATGTCACTGCGCCAGCTGATTCTGTCGACACCTCCCCCTGCAGCGGGTCTCGGTTCGCCTCCGTGCGCCTCAGTCCCAAAAATACCAAACTGGCTGTACGCCGGGCTCCGCCAGACAAAAATACAACTGCGCGGGGTCTACCACCCTCCACTGCCTCACCGGCGTACACGAAAATAGAGCCCTATGTCTTTGTCTGACTGCATTTGTATCTGTCTGTATGACTGCTGAGTGTTACACCTCTTGTAGCCAGTTGCTGCCACAAAACATGAATTCTATACCAGGGTCTGTGACAGCTGGATGAAATCAGAGGTGACAGAAAATCTGAGACACTTTGAGGTTCAGTTTGAGGTTTGTATTACTTTCCCATTTAATACAGAACAATTTAATGTTGGCTAAATAACTAATTAACTAGCTAGCTAGCTACTTGCCAATTAGTTAGTTAGCTTTCTATTTTTAACTTCACTCTATGATTGAATTGCGGTAAGTGTAATATTACTAACTACCTGTAGTTAGCTACTTATTAGCCAATATCATCAGCAAGCACAACATTGATAACTACCTATAGGTAGGTAAATAGGTAGGGACCATCAAAGGCAATGGCACTGCCAGCATTCAATGCTTTAACAGGGTGCGACACCACCTCACCTTTTTTTGGCAAGGGCAAGAAGACAGCCTGGTCTATGTGGCAGTCCATGCCTGAACGACCTTGCCTCTTCAGCTGCTCTCTGGCCCTAGCCCTACAACTGAGATGATCAAAACCCGCACACCCATTCTCCAGAGATTTGTCCTGAAGCTGTATGGTGTGTCCGAGGACGACATCAGGACTGTGGATGCTGCTCAACTCTCCCTTTTCCTTCACAAAGGAAGAGACTTTGATCACATGCCGCCAAGCAGTGATGCACTCCATCAGCACCTCCTCCGAGTAGCTTATCAGGTAATGATATAAGACAGCCATACATATGGGCATACTATTTAAATGTCATAAAGTATATCACTAATCGTATTTTTCTTTACAGAGTGGACATGTTTGGGGCAATATGCTGGTCAAAGACACTGCTACTGTCTAACCCTCACAGTGGGGATGGCAGCAGGATTCCCCAGACAGAGCACCCACACCTCTGTACACTACTACTGCAATTATTTCAAGGGACTTGCCAGAACTTGTTATTTGCAAGTGCAAGACAGACTGTAGGCCACCTTGGAAATGCTGCATGCAGAGGCAGCCATGCATGTCTCTCTGTGGATGTCATGGTTCATGCTCCCATTGTGGAGCCATTGAATTGTAAATCTCAATTAAAGTCTGAAACGTAATTACAAACTTGTTCTGTGTTCATTACGCATTAAGTGGTATTTGCATCCATTTTAATAGGCATATTTCACCAGGTGGAGAGCCCTGTTGTGCTGATAATAGGATTTTTTTTTTTGCCTTGAAATCTACTGAATTGGATTCCTTGATCCTGAAAATGTACACTTTAACACACATTTTACCATTATAGCTTTTACAAAAGCAAAGGTATGAGTTCTGCTGTATTACTTAAATGATGGTGGCCATTTGTAAACCCATGTATTTCAGAAATGAAGGGTGATCTAACTTGTCTTTTTGGATAATTTATTTCCTATGGTCCTAAGGTACTTCCATACCAAAGGAAAAGTAAATCTACGTTTAGGGGAAGGGGTGGGGGGTAAGTTACCATGTTAAAACGTACATTTTCTAATGAAATTTGAAATTAATGAAGCATTGGGTTTTTTGCATTCAAACCTATTTAATTGAATTCCTAGACCCCAAAAATGTGCACTTTGACACCAATATTATGATTATAGCTCCAACAGAGGCAAAGATACAGGGTCTGGTGTATTAGCGGCGGCCATTTTTAAAATGTCTATAAAAAAAATTGAAGGGTGATCAAACTTGTCTCTTTGGATAAAATGTTTCCTATGACCCTAAGGTACTTTTATACCAATGGGGATATTTGTATTATGACTTGAAGTAAAATGTATCTGAGGGCCCTCACTATATGTGACTTATGACCACCATAACAATACATGATAATAATATACAACTCTCCGACCCTGAGCATGACCTCACAAGAAGATGACCACTTTGGAAACATGGTCTCTTACCAGGCTTTGGGTTTGAAAAAGCAAAACAGGGGTTCAAGTTTATGGTTTTGAAGAATACACTGAAGCTTCAACTAAGACTTTAAAGCTGTCTTTGGGCTGTCAGAAACATTTAACACTAATGTATCCCCCACAAAATACCAAGGTTTTAATTTTGTGTTTTGGTTTACTGAGAGTGAGCTCCACAGTCAATTCATGTGTTTATATGTTTATGTTTTCTGCCATGTATAAAAAGTAATAGTACTTATTGATGAACAAAACAAAGAAGAGCTTGAGCAATAGTTTGTAAGTTTATGTGGTTATGAGCACACCCACATCCATCAGGTCTATTTTGAGACCCTGATGTTACATTCACTCTGTGAATTTTACTACTGTGAAGTCAAACTTCTACCAGGGTTAGTCATGGTCTGTTTGTAGCACACTGGTACATCTGTGTTTCTCAGTATACTCCCTGTGCAGGGATGTCTGCACACTCCCTTTTATTGCAGCCTATTACATGTTTCCACTGCGTTCTGTGGATAACTACAGAACAAAGTTGCTTCAGTGCCAACAGTGAACCCAGTACATGACTGGCAGGTAAGTTCCTTTGATTTTACAAACATGTGTCCTCTTAAATGTTGTCTTGACAGATGGCAGTGGCAGAGATTTGTCATACTGTCCTCATCACTTCTGCCTTAGTAACATCAGAGTTGAGTGTTTGCTGACACCTGTAAATTAACCAAAGTCTCATGTGACATGCTTACACATTCAGGCTTCTGGCCTAATTCCCAATGAAGGCTGCTCAAGATTCATGTGGGCTAGCATGTCTCAGCATCACTCAGTGACACTTCAGCGACAGCTCTGTTTGGACCTGCTGCATGCAGCACAATGACAGTGGCAGTCTGTAAATAAATGAATGTTGAGTCACAGAGTAATATGAACTTCTCTGTAGCCTGATTCACTTCTAAAGATCAACGGTTCAGTGATCTGTAGTGTTCATGTTAACTGAGGTAACTGAAAATAGTTGACCTTGATGTTAGGGTAAAAAAGTTTTGGTGAAAATGTACCATGAGACAAACTTTTTTAAAATAACTATCATTGATACAATGCTTTTTATCAAAACTATATCTCAAGCACAAATCTGTTTTCTGCTCTAAACTGTGAAGAAAGTTTCAGGTTTGATGTGTTTATTTATAGTGGGTTTTTTTTTTGTTTTGTTTTTGTTTTGTTTTTTTGTTTGTTTTTTTTTTGCTATGAAAAGGAGGTTCGGGTTAACAACAGGGTTATTATTATTATTAATTAAAACAAACCAAATGATGAAACTGGGACTGAACATTTCAGAAACAATAAAACAATAAAAACGGTTATAAAAAAACAAAAACAAACTATAACTGACTGAAACTGTATTGTGTGTTCACAAAACTAACTGAGACGTATTAAAATTATTGATAAAAATCTCTTCATTTTTGTTTTGGTCAATTTTGTATTGATATGAAATTGTTTTCTTTCGCTTAAGCAATTTTATGTGAACTGGCAGCACTGTACTGCACCTCCTAGTTCATCACTTCGGGCTCTATTTTCGTGCCTCGCCGGAGACGTGCCGCAGGCGCAGCGTAAGTCAGGTCCGCCGCGCCGACAAGGCGTTCCCAAGCACAATTTGGTATTTTGGTGAGCAGCGCAGCCCGGCGTAAGTATCCCCCTCCCTAACTCAGCTCCTCCCAGCGGTGTAAGTCGTAGCGAGGGAGGAGAAGGGCGTGGAGTGGGTTTAACACAGCCGAGACCTGTTTTCACCAATCACATAAGCTCCTCTCCTTGCCTTTAAATCCGCCACAGGCGAGGCATATTACCATTTTCGTGAAGTAGTCAAAGAGATCAAGAGATGTCTGAAGACAGTAATGCCACATGATGGCGACAGAAGGCAGCCCCTCAACAAGTGTCACTGTAAGCGCTGCATTGGGCGTCCTCCACACTCTCTCATATGAGCACAGATGGATTTGGTGTGTGTAATGTTGGACCCAGTGGTAAGACAAACACCCTTCTCCACAAATAAAGACACTCACATAAAGTTGCAAATATTCAAACCTCACGTGACAACAGTGGGTTGTGTGAACAGATCACAACATAAACTCCAAAAATTGCATTAAAATTGGAACTATCTGTGCGTAAATGACGCATTGCGCTCTGTGGCCTGGCTCTTTCTTTCATAGATGTTGGCATATAAAATAAATTTGGCTCACAAAACTGAATGTTATAATATTCGTATGTAGGCTTGAAGTAAATAACTCATCTGAGCACTGAAACAAATCATCTGTTCAGCCGCCGCAGCAGCAGGACGGAGAGAGGACACGGAGACGTGTCCAAGTCGAGCTGTGCGAGAAATAAGAGGAAGAGAAAGAAAGAAAAGGAGGGAGACGAATTACATATCTAGTTAAATTCATCATGTGTGTTTATTTACTAGATATTCAATTCAATTTAATGCGGTTTCAGCTGTGTTGATTCGGTCAGGTTGTGTGTCCAAACGAGTGCCAAACGCGCTCATCAGATCAGATATAGATCAGAATATATCGATATAGATCTAAAGTATGTGCTAACTCAGATTATTAGTTGTTGATGATTATTTATTGCACTGAAATGTGCCTGACACTGTGGAAACCTGCCGGTGAGGCATCAGTGACGTATGCCGATACGCCGCCAGTCTACCAAAATACTTATAGACCAGCTGCGTTCCGCCCGCGCTGAAAGCTGACCAGGTTTGAATCAGCGAGCTTTCAGCGCACTTTACACGCCGGTGGCGAGCACGAAAATGTCACTGCTCCCGCTGATTCTGTCGACACCTCCCCCTGCCACGCCACCACGCCCAGCTTGGCGGATCTCGGTTCGCCTCCGTGCGCCTCAGTCCATGAAAATACCAAACTGGCTGTACGCCGGGCTGCGCCAGACAAAAATACAACTGCGCGGGGCTCGCCGCCCTCCGCCGCCTCACGGGCGTACACGAAAATAGAGCCCTTCATGTTTAGAGTTGGCTTCTCATCACTATTCTACCTGGCAAAATGGCAACAAAACGCAGGAGAAAGCAACAGAGTCCTATAATAAATTTCTTTAAATACAACAGTGAGAAAGACAAAAGCAAGTGCCTGGAAAACTGGTGATGAAGTATGAGGAATAAAACCTCACAGATCTGAAAATCCATTTGAGAAGCTCACACAAGAACGCTAATCGTGAGTAACTCGACAAAGCGGCCTCTCTGAGTAGCTCCCCTGAAAGAGAAGCAACATCTCGGCCGAAAGATAGCACCAGGAAGCAGGACACAACTATAATGGACTGTTTACACTGATGACCAAAGAACTGCTGGTTAGTAAACACACAGCAACACCACATGTGGGAACATGCAATGTGGTAAATATGTTTTTTGAGACTGGTATGGCTATAAGTGAGTTGATTGCCTTCAAAAAGTTTAGCTAAAATTCAAATCACCCAGCGCTGCATGAGTAAAAACCTTATTGCAAAGTATGAAAAACCCAAACTTATATTAAATTTAATAAAAACTAAACTAAAACTAATCATTTTGGGGGGAAAAAAACAACAAACCTGCTCTAAAAACTTATTCAAAAGAACTGAATTAAAGAAAAAAAGAGTCCAAACCAAATAAAACTAAACTATAATTACAATCAAAAACTATTATAACCTTGATTAGGAGTTTAAAGTCTTTCACAGCAAGTTCTTCAAGTTATGACATGCCATTCTCTTATGAACTATTCTTTAGGTTATTGGGATTTTTTTATGCGGAAATTCTAAAAAATAAATAAATAAAAAAGGTCTGCTGACACTTCTCCCCTCACACCAGTTTTAAGCTTTACAAATCAGGATAGAGAATTCTACAGCCTTGTCTCTGATGGTGGTATTTACCTAAGGACATCATAAAAGAGCATCAATATGAATTTCAGACAATTTCATACACATCTAAACATCTAAGCACATCAATCAATCAAACTTTATTTGGATAGCACTTTTCATACAACTGAAATGTAATACAATGTAAAAAGTGCTTTACATCAACAAATAAAATAAAACAAACAACAACAGAAAAAAAACAAATTAAATTAAAAATCAGGAACTAGGAAATGAGGAAACGCTATCATGAGTTAATGAGGAAAAATTGGGGGTAAACTTGATAAAACCTGAAAAGGATAATGAAAAAAAAAACAATGGGAAATAACATTTACTAATCAGTCAAGAAATAAATAAACTAAGATAAGACACAAAGGTAAATAAAATAATAAACGTGCTGTAAAACAAATGGCTGAATGAAGTGGATTACAGTTTAGGGTGAATTTTTTTTTAAAAGTGGGTTTAAAAATATTGATACTCCGTGCCACCCTCGGGTCTCCAGGTAGGTTCCACTGACATAGGCAAAAACAATAAAAAGCTGTCTCACTGTTGGACTTTGTTGTGACTTTAGGCAAAGACCACCATCTGAAGACCTGAGGACTCTCACAGGCTCATATTAGCAATTCTGATTAAAAAAAAGGTTGATATAAGACTCTTAAGAGCCTTAAAAACAACAAAAGAACCTTAAAGTCAATTCTGAAAGATACTGGAGGCCAATGCAAACACTTTAAAATTGGGTGTCCTGTGGGTTCACTTTCTGGTCTTCTTTAGCATTCTTCAGTTGATTACATGGTTCAGAAGACAGTGGCTGGGGTTTTATGGAAGCGATTGTGACTCATATCTCAAATTCAAAAGCATTAGCAGAAATGCTTTTGAATTTCAAAGTCATGGCTGCACTATTTGACTCAAAAATAAAAAGAATATTCCAAAAAGCAAATCGTATTCAACATTTAATTTTTAAAACATTCACCAGCAAAATTCAATTTGAAATGTCAAATTCAAAAATTCAAAAGCATTAGCATAAATTGAATTACGAGCCACGGGCTGATTTTGTTTTTTTATTATTTAATTTGTACGCTCCTCGTGACCAGGAAGTTGTATCGTGTGTGTTTTTTTTGCTGGTGTGTCAACCCGATCGTATCAATTTAAACGGCCTTTGAGACATGCATGTTAGGGGGAATGAGTTTATTGGGTCAAAAATAAAGCTGAAAGCACGAAACATAAGAAGACGGAAATTGGTGACCGTGCAAATGCCTGTCCAAAATATAGCCGTCACAGAGTGAGAAATTCAACAAACCTTTTTGTTGTGAGAGAAACTTCTTTTGCGGTATCTTTGTGATCATTAGGTGTGTGGGTAGTTGGGTTTGGGTAGAGTACTTGGGTAGAGTACTACCCAAACTGTGAGTTTGGGTAGTACTCACAGTACCACAGGCGGTGTGAAAATGTTTGTGGGATGCGTTTAAATACAGTGCGAGGTCAGGTGTACTCTCCGTGTTACCTGTGTTATCTCGTGACAGCCTATACACCTTGCTTTTTGGTTGTATTCAATGTTTGTGTGGACGTCTCCACAACTATGATCCACGCTTTAAATAAGTAGAAAAAAAGCATCCGCTGTCACCACTCGTACTGATCGCAGTCAGCGTGAATAAAATCAAACCGCTGATCGTGGCTATCTGTTTCAGCGGACTAACGGACTTCATACTCCTCATTGTTCTCATCATTGATTGATGGATTTGGGATGTTTTGCAAATAAAGGGACATAAACACAGTGAAAAACAGACAAAATGGTCATAGAGATGCCTTAAAAATACATGGCACAGAGGCAGAATCACTGCAGTCTCTGTCCGTGTTAACCTGTGACTGTATGCAGATGTCAGCGGTGTGTCAGGTGTGCTGGTCCTTTTACTCACTCACAACATGGAGACGTGGACTCTCCACATTTTATCTTCAGTGAACTAACTTGTTACAACCTGTACTCTAATACAGGAATGAAAGTTGGATGAGGTTCTTACTGTACCTGTAGGCTTTGTACAAGAGGAGCACGCCCAAGTTTGACAAGGTGCCGACTAAGGATCATTTGAACAAGAACAATAAAGAAAGTTGCACACTCTTATCTCCTCTGCTGTTTTATTACCTTACCGTTTCAGATACTGTACCCCTGAAATAAACTTTGAAACAACATACACAAAATTCAACATCAAGGCATGCTGCTGTAGTGTTCTAGAATATTTTTAGTCCACTGAAGATAAAATGTGGAGAGTCCACGTCTCCATGCTGTAAGTGAGTGAGTAAAAGGACCAGCACACCTGACACACCGCTGACATCTGCATACAGTCACAGGTTAACATGGACAGAGACTGCAGTGATTCTGTCTCTGTGCCATGTATTTTTAAGGCATCTCTATGACCATTTTGTCTGTTTCTCACTGTGTTTATGGCCCTTTATTTGCAAAATATCCCAAATCCATCGATCAGTGATGAGAACAGTGAGGAGTATGAAGTCTGTTAGTCCACTGAAACAGATAGCCGCGATCCGCGGTTTGATTTTATTCACGCTGACTGCGATCAGTACGAGTGGTGATAGCGGACGCTTTTCCACATTAAAGAAGGAAATATTTGTAATATATCTTCATTAACACCAAGTGTTTCGTTTCTACTTTTTTAAAGCGTGGATCATGGAATTTAACAGGCAGGCTGGTGGCTTTAGTTGAGAGATAACTTTGGCCAGCATTTCAACATCAACCTGGACAAACTTCTCCAATGTTTCCTCATTCAAAAACAAAGACTCAAGGGTAGTAAACGTGTGAGGTTAGGTGTCAGAGAAATTAGATCTGATTGACTATTTTAAAAAACCCAATAGGAGCTTTGTGTTGTGTTTCTGGAGCTACTGGTCATTTGGAAACCCGATCATTCATCCCTGAATATTTAAGGTATGAATTATATCCTCAATAACCTTGTTCTGTTACACCCGGAGAAACATGTCCTGGCCTACCCCCCACAGTGGGTGCAAAGCTGATCTCCTCATTGTTCTCTCATCCTGTTGGTATCAAGCATGTGTGCAGTTTATTAATACTTTGGATGCATTGGATATAAATAAACTTTTGTTTGATACCCTGTCTGACCCCACTGCCTTCCACTGCAGCAACAGACCACATAAAAGGTACAGTCAGTATATTATAGATATACAGTCTGTTATTGTTATTAAAACTGAAATGAAAACGTATTTGGTCACATTTTCGTATCTGGCATGGATGCATGTCTGTTATCATCCAGCCTGTTTTGGCTTTTTGCTCTGGAACATTTTCAGCTGCAAGACGGGTTGGGTCAGATCAGGAAGGCAGCTGTTTCTGGTGTCAGTCAGTGTTTTATGGAGGATTAGGGATGAGACCCTACAGCTGACAGTCCCTCTAGCAGCCTGGCTGCCACAAAGATACCAGCCCCTGTAATAGCTCTGATCAGGGTTGGGTGATTATATGGCATTATGTCCTCCTGCACTGAACTGAAATAAATAAAGAGCAGAAAGAATGGATGAAGAACAAAGACAAAATCCTATTTTAAACTTCTCTAAAACAGTGGCACTCAATGAGTCAAACAAAAAATATTCAATTCAATCACAAGGACCTGAAGAGTTGACTTTAAGACAGAAAGGTTTTTGTTTTTGTTATCTAGATTTAGGTTTTTTTTTTTCAATATGATAAAATGCAGTTTTACAGTGCAGTCAACTATTAGACAGCACAGGTCATAATTTGACAGCCCTAGCATTCTCAAGACCATACCAGGTCCACCAAACCAGGGTTGTCAATTCACTCAAGAAAATAAAAAGGAAAGAAACAATACATTACAAAGTTTGAATGAGTACCAAATCAATCAGCCAATCAATCTTTATTTATATAGTGCTAACTCAAAGCAAAAGTTATCCCAAGATGCTTCAGACCCAACATCAAGGTAGGAAGACTGAGTCCCATCTTGTAAGACCAGACCCACTCCCATTCCCTAATCTAATTCCACATGAGTGAAACACTTTACTGCATTTATCAAGTTGCAGTGGTGAGAAAGAACTTCCTTTAACAGGCAGAAACCTCAAGCAGAGCCAGACTCATGTTAGACAGTCATCTGCTGGGACTGAGCTGGGTTTAGAGAGGGGAGAAAGGGAGACGGACAGAGACAAACAACAACAACAATAATCATAGTACATACAGATGTATGGTTACAGAGCCAAAGAGAATGGAACAAGTATGAGCACTTTTACAGGAACAGGAAAATAAAGTTGAAGTAAATGACGGGAATCAAAATTAGATCAGTTAAAGCAGAGAGAGTCAAAAAGGGTCCCAAATTACATGAGCTGTGTAACAGTGCTCAAAATGGAGAGAC